TGAAGACGTTATGCTTTACTGGCTTAGTACGCTAATTTTTCCTGTCAAGAACTTTAAATTGGCATCAAATAAAAGTTTATGGACCCTCCACGACCCTTCTTAAGTAACCGTTGACCTCACTTAATAAGTCTCTCGTTAAGTAAGGCTTTTACTTCATTTTTTCAAGATTTTATGACTAATATAAGATTTTTACGTTACATATTTTTTGTATCTGGAAGTAGGTATTGATACTTCTATAATCTATACATATAATAAAACTGTAGAGATTGAATGTCTGTACATAGAAAAAAAATGCTAAAAACCGAGTCAGGGGCATGTAAGAAAAGAAATAGAATAAATCTGTTTTTTTTTTCAATTTTTTTGTTTCTCAGTCTGCTTGTCTGTTTGTACGAGCTCATCTCCGAAACTGTTGGATCGATTTAAATGAAATTTTGCATGGTGGTATCTCATATTATCGGTCACATTTTAAATACTTTTCATCCCGGAGAATTAAAGAGTTCCCGTGGAATAGTTAAAAAACTATAGTAACTTAACAGCTTAGTACACAAAAACTACTGATTGGATTTTAATGAAACTTTACAATAATATAGTTCATACATTAGAATAACAAATAAGCTACTTTTCATCCCAGAAAATGTAAGGTTCTCGTGGGATAGATTTGTTTTTGTTTGTCTAGAGGCGAACCCGAACGAAGCGCGGGTGAGCCGCTAGTATAGTATAATAATAATTATTTTTTATGGTCGTGATGTTAATTCAAGGTAGGCTATATATAAATTTGCTAAAAATTCTGCTACAAGTTGACGACACGTTTGGCTCAGTTTGTAGTAACCCTACTTGCTGTGCCAGCTGTCGCGGGTTCGAGTCCCACTGGGGGCATTCACTTGTGTCATAAGCATGAATGTTTGTACTCCAGTCATGGGTGTTTATATTTATAATATGTATGTATTTAAAGTTATATTGTGTTAAGTGTATCAACTATTTGGTATCTATAACACAAGCCTCGTAGCTTACTATGGAACTAGATGGTGATGTGTGTTAATGTTCCAACATATTTATTTATTTATTATTCTGTATATTATGCAACTAGCAGGAGAAAATCAATCTTAGATCACTTTAGCATTACATTGCCGCGAGCTTACTTTGTGGTCAGCTGGAGTCTAAATACATAGAAAGCTTGTTAAAGTACCTAGTGTTTGTAGCGACACACTTCATTAGTCATTTAGTGCGCCACAAAGCTGCCAAAGACCATCTATAGCAGCGCAATTGAGATTACCAGCTCGTGTAATTTAAACATGAGCACAGATTTAGTCTCTACTAAAATTTAATTAATTTTAACTATACAAATCTAGATGTATATATATCATCCATACAGAATCATTAACTTTTAACATTTAAATAGTCAAAAGTTGTTCAACTTAGACGAAAATTGTAAAAGATAACTTCTCTATTGATTTAATCTTGAAAATAAATCGCTTTGAGTAGTCGCCTCTTGATAGCTTTAGCAATAATTTAACTTCGCTAACGAGCAAACTAGGCAACGCTGCTTTATTAAATGCTACATTGAATTAAATACTAGGTTTATTAAATTTAGAACAGGAAATTGAGTTAGAATTCCGAGATAAAACTGTCTTTTCAATTACTTTTGTTAATATGAATTTTATTAGGTTTATAAATATTTGCAACTTAAATTCAAATTTAAATGTTAGTAAAATATATTTATCAAAGTTCGACAATTTTAATCAAATGTATTAACGATTTTAATAAATGTTTCCCGATATTTCCGCTACATAATTCATTATACATTTTCGTAAATGTCCAATTACGTTAGAGCCACGTTCATAGCTATTTCATATTTTGAGGTATGCATTGTATAGAACTGGAGAGCGGAGGGGGAATGAAACGAAACTCAATATCCACATTCATATGTATTTTATTGTTCATTTATTCATTGGCCACAGCAAATCAAATAATGTTCATTAATCTATAGAATTTATTAAAGCTAGGAACATGTACACATCGATCTTTTTAAAACAAACAGTACAGACACTTTATTGACATTCTACAGCTTGATTCTAGAGGGACACTGAATAAATTCTTACTACATCATAATTATATATAGTATAAGAAATGTTAATAATCGGATCATATGACTTTGCACGTGTAAATATGCGCACTTATGACACCTTTGCTAAAGTGTAAATAGTAATAAATGTTATTTAAAATATATAATTTTTCTCTTTAGTAGGAAACACAATGGAAGTCGCTTTGCTTATTTTTGTCGCTCAGCGCATATTTGCATGTAAAGGGGTCTCCTCGTAGTGCATATAATCCGATGCGCTCATATATAAAACATCAATAATATTTTTCACTTTATAAATTAGTATATTGTATATTTTAGTGAATTTCTAATAGGAAAGTGCGTGTTTGTATGTTAGCTCGGTAAAAATAGCGACATTATTTTATATGTATAAGCAGTATAAAATTAATGGGCAAAACGTTCAAAAATATACGTATACTTTAAATGCATGTAAAAGACTTTAAAATTGTATAGCGCCTAAATATAATTGACGTTTTGGAATGGTCTTGTAATTTTGATTGATGTTGCTGTTAAAAGAAATCATTTGAAACATATTTTATAAGCTCAAAGATATGACTAGTTCGTCGGATATGATTTGGTAAAGTTGCATGGGAAAAGCCACAATAAATCTACGTTAAGTTTATTTAAAAATGCTTTAGGTACACAAAATACACACGAGTATCAAAAAGCTAAACATCATGCGTTATTACGCAATACTAATAAAGATAAAATTCTTGTCACATCTTGGATTTCCATCAGTTAATTGTTTTGTAAAAAATATGTTGAATTAAGTCCATAAACTGTTTAAATATTAAAATTATTTATAAAGTATTTTGTTACTTTAATATGGTTATTCAAATATTGTTGATATCGATTTGTAGAATTATCTATGTAAATTTTAAATATGTTGGCTGTAGAGCCTTTCTAAAACTTTTGATTCAAGCCAATACTAAATGTCAACAGTTAGTGTAGATTCATAGATTTCAATTAAATCCTAATTAAATTTAAAGTATCAATTATTAAACTTATAACATTAAAATAAATATAATATGTATATTTATCAACAATATTTCATCGTACTTGTTTGAAAAAATAATCTGATCCTCACACAAATCCAAGCCGTCCTAGATATTTTAAAATACACATATAATATTTTTATATTATAACATGATATACTTATTAATCTCTACTTAACGATAAACACCAATACATCTCCATCTATAATAATAAACTTGTATACACAGTGAATGTCATCACGTACATTTATAAAATTTTAAAATTTCATAATTCATATATACACAATATTAGTTAAAACTAACGATAAAAATCAGTCGTCACAGACAAGGTATAGAATATATTATTTTAGAACAAAGCCGCATCTTCATGTGAAACAATAACTCGTACGGTAAGTTATAGGTGGTCCAAATATTTATACATAATAAGTTGGGTTAAAGAGAATGTCAATTTCAACTTGGACCCTAGGAAATATATATTATGTAAGTATTTTTTCCACATTATAACCCAGTGCGTAGAAAATATTAAGCAACAGTCTAAAGAGTAAATAATGAGATATGTATATTTAAAGCGAATTTGTTCTAAAATGTTCAATATAATAAAAAATATTAGCGAAGAAAAGCTCGTATTAAAGCTTCAATAACGCGGCACGAAGGTAACGGTGCAGAAACTTTTGATAATTTATTATGGAAACATCTGGACATAATTACAAAGGAACGTAACAGACTTGAGGATTGTGAACTTGTGTAGAACTTAAATAGAAAATTTTCTTTGGCATTTGATCTAGTGAGCTTTGGGGTGATAGTTAAGGGTTAATTGGTTTATTATACATGACTGGAGATTTTAGCAAAAATCTAATAATTTACTTTGGTTATCCAAAGAAAATACGTATGTATATGATAAACATAAATTAGTTACCTACTAGCGTAAAACTTAAAAAAAAGTTATATTATTATTAAATAAAACTATCTTTTCGGATTATTTCGCGGATTTATTTTGATTTTTGGTTCCCGACGTTTCGAATGCTTTACAGCATCCATGGTCACGGGAGAGACTGACCCGACCAAAAATCAAAATAAATCCGCGAAATAATCCGAAAAGATAGTTTTATTTAATAATGTCAAATATTCGCGTAAATCTAAGAAAGTATTAGTTATATTATTATTTGTATTTAAATGTTAATTTTTAGTCGCTTTCATATGCAACTTAGTGTTTTTATTTGATATAGTAAGTAAAAATATTTTTATTATTGAGAAAACCAGGAAAATTCCAAATTTCCAATGTTATTGATGAAGCAAATCTCTATCAAAACGATTGCCATAATATGTGCTCAAAGGTTTGGTTTCTATATAAATTTCGATCAATTAAGTTAATTTATATTTTTTTGCCACCGAAAACATGAGTCTATTAGGTTTTTCCAATATTTTGTGTAAATGGATACTTTGTGGATACTTTGTGGATTTTAAGTGCAAAGTTTGTGCTTCTACCCACATAGAGATATACTAATAGGTAGATATACAAAAATAATAGTTACCAACAAGTCTTAAAGTATTTGGTCGGGAGTTTCTACTAGACTCTAACAACTAGGGACATAAGCTCCAAGGTGCTGCTATACACATACATATAAGATTAATTAAGATATTTTGAAAGTTTACACAATATTCTCTCATGAATAGAAGAATAACACAGTCTTTGTAGTACAATTATCATTAATACTGATGCGTTCACATCTTAACAAACGCTATTTAAAATATTAATAATTTAATAATCATGTAAAAACTAAATTTTGATTTATACATATATATCGAAATATTTTAAATATAACATTTTATATTGTCAAGATTAAAATGGACGTGTGCGTAGAAATAAAGAAAAGTAGAAACGTAAACAAAGCATAAGAAAAATTTTACTGTTCTGCAAAACGTAGCTTTTGTTTCTTTACAAAATCATTTGCAAGTTTGTCCGTCGTTCGAGATTCCAAAATCTGAAGAATAGGATGGCCTGTAAAATATATTTTTATTTATTGAGAAAGAAATGATTTAATTTTTTGCTATACATAAATATTAAATACTTAAATAGTACATAATAAAAATTGAAAAGTATATCTGTAATTAAAACTGTATAGTGAGTATGATTTCTGATTATTATATTATTATTAAGAAATTTATTGGAGTTCATTAGTCTAGAACTAGTTAGATATGTAAAGAGTTATTTTATGCAAATATTAGTTTTTATACTTCACGTTACTAGAAACTTTATTAGAGGTTAAAACTTTTGTAAAAGTCCAAGTTTTACTGTAATAGTGGCTCTACATAACTTTTCAGACTTTTCTAAGTATTGGCGTCTTTGAAGAACTCATACGATATACATTTATTGCTCAAAAATGTATGTCTGAACTTTCTAGTTTATTGAGGCACTCATTGCTTACTTATTAAATGCTTTCCAGAGAAGCGGCATGTTATTATAATCGCTTTTTATTTCAACTGAAATTGAGTTAGTAGCTTATAAAGTCATTTTATTTAAAATTTCATTTCGAGTTCTATTCTTAGAAGCGTGTTCATAAACCATGTCTTACTTAATATGAGAGTAATTATATAAACTCGAAGCGCATTAGTATGTTTTTTTTTAAATATTAAATTATCAAATTATTGCATTCATTTTTTACGATATGTTTATTTTTAATTAGAATTAAATTATTAAGAATTCATTACACGACTGTTCTAAACAGGGAATTAATTAAAAAAAATGTTTATAGTAATTATAATTAATGATACTTTTTTAATTCGTTACCTCCGATAAGAGCCTCAAAAACGAACCGCTTATATAAAAAATAAAATTGTCTTAGTGTTAAAATTTAATTCTCAGACGAGCGTTTAGAGATATTTTAATGTTTATGTTTATATAGGGTATTCGGTTATAATTTGCATGCCAATATAATATCGTTTAAATGTGGCAGTTTTGCTGGGCAGCGCGTATTCAAGAGATAATAATACTTGATGAGTCGACCTTTTATGTAATACTAGCATTGCCCGCGGCTCCGCCCGCGTTCAGATGACCAAAAACTAAATTCTTAGGTGTTACATATTAGTATACTCTTACATTGCAGTTTTTGTATTTTTCCTCAGAAATAAGATATTTTCCCGCGGTAAAAAGTATCCTAGGATCGCGCGCTACATCGCCCGGTTTATATAGCTTGAGCAGGCGGTCGAGCGATGCGGGGCAGAGGGGATGGACTCGCCGTAGGCATCTCAATGCTCGCCAAGCATTAAAAATGTTTCGCTACTAATTACTTCTAACAACGATATCTCAAAAACTATTCATCTGATTGATTTAGTGTAAAGAGCAATTTTAATCTGCATTAAATGACTAAGCTAACTAAAATATTCATTTGGATAAGGATTAATACCGAACTAAAGAAAATAACTTTGAAAATAACGTAATGTTTTTAATTAAAAATGTTAACATAAAAGTGGTTATTGTAAGTCAACCGTAAGAGATAGAGATATGCTATCGCGGACTTTTTTGTAGCATTTTTATAGATTTTGAATTCTCTAGTACATTACTTAACTGTATCTTTGCTAGTTTACGCGGCGTTCGCGTGGAAAGTTCCCATTTGGCGAGATTTTTTGCGACCTCTTCAACATTTGTCGCCGTATTTCAGCTAATTTACATAAAAGCATAATAAATTATATACCTAAACCTTCCTCAAGAATTACTCTTTCTATTGTTGAAAACCGTATAAAAATCCGTTCAGTAGTTTTCGAGTTTATCGCGTACAGACAGACAGGAGGACAGACAGGAGGACAGAAAGACGCGGCCGGGGGACTTATTTTTATAATAAGTATAGATATGATAGGGTGTATTATGTTACTATTAAGATACCAGTTATTTCTAATTTATAAGCATAGAGTCATGATTTATTTTATTCCTAAAGAAATCAATCCAATTACATTAAATTATAATTTATCGATGACTGAAATATTTTCTGGAGACATCACGTTTCTACAAGGCGTTGGGTATTGTTTGATTTTTTCTAAACCAATCGATTCAAATTTGTTTACCAAAATAATGGATATTCAACAAGGTGATTTTATTCATCATAGTAATGAAAATAATCAGTCCTAGCGCATAGAACGTAGTTTGAGTCGAGCACTAGTTCCGATAGTAAAAGTTTGTGGATTTGTATGTGTTATTCAACCGGCGACTGTTACTACATTTCTAACTATATCTATTCCTGTGCTAACTATCATTTATCTGGTTGTCTCAGCGTGAAGGCATAAATACAAAAATAAGAAATATTATATAATATGATGTACTCACATCGATCGTGTAGTTGCATCAGCGGCAGCTCGACGGGTCGCAGGGGGTCGGGCGGCGCGTGGCTGTTGACGCCGGGCACGCGCGACAGCGACACGAAGGCCTCGCCCGCGAAGTCGTCCGCCGTGAGCACGTCGCGGTCCCACACGGACAGCGCCAGCGCAGCCTGCGGCGACTTGCACGCCTCGAGAGATACACCGAACTCGAAACATTCGTCCCATATAGGGTTTAGCGTTTTCTGTAAAATATTAAACACATATACAATGTGCATTTTCTGTGAAAAAAGTACATACTTTTGCACATTTAGATTTTTTTGTATGCTACTAAAATAAATGCAATTGTTTATTATTCATTATGTGTTCATGGATTTGTATATATCTAGTATCTAAACTAATATTATAAAAAGGTAAAGTTCGTAGGTTTGTAAGTTTGTACGTAAAAAAAATCAGAAATTCTTTCAGTAGGAAGCTATAGTGCCGCCGAGTGTTTAGACTATTTTTTTATTGTAATAAAATGTGTATACTTTCAGTTTCAGATATCATAACACTAGTAATTGAAGTTGAAAAAAAAAATTAACTAAATATAATAACAAAATTATTATCTCCAGTACGTAATTACTTTTTCAAAAAAGTACATTGACTTCTAAAATCCCATATAGAATAATTATTTCCTCAGGGGCGGGAATTTATGTTGCAATCAACATCGCGTAACATACACACGAAAAATCTCACAATCGAATTGAGTACCTTGAACCTTCTCCTTTATAAGTCGGTTAAAAAGAAATTCTAATATGGATGTTTGATGTTGTAAATCCTAAAGGATTGTATACTAATACATATACATAAAATGTTCACTGATTTCATTTTGTTTTATCACAACACTTAAGCATTAACACAGCAGGATAAAGTCAGAGCAATAAAAGTGGCAATAAAATAAAGTAAAAGTAAAATAATATTTTGTATTTTTAATAGCATTTCATTATTAAAAGCAATAAATGTTTATAAATTGCCAGAACATGCCAGAAATATATATAAATTTGAATTCTGTTATGAGCGATATTTTATTTTAAAGCTAATTAATCATTTTAAACGTAACACTACTTACCTTTTGAACGTTAGTGCTTTGCTCATGTGTCCTGGGAAAGAGTCGTTTTGGTAATAGTTCTAGTACCACGAATGGGTCGCTCAAACCGTTGGGGTCAAGCGGGATCACATCCCTTGCGGATAGCACTTCCACACACAGCGAGTCGTGGTTGAAATAAACTCTGCGAATTAGCATGTATGTACTGTGTAAAATGTTCCAAAATATTATTATTTATCTATGAAAGATATGTAGTAATATTTAAAAATAATAAAATAATTATATTTACAACACGGCCAATTCCTGGGTATCCTCTTGCAATCGGATTAATCTAATTTAATATTAATAGTGGCACCTATCCTACCTATAATATACGTACGTATAATATATTTATAAAAATATTTGAATATTTGTGACTTTGTCAGACCTTATTAAAGGAAACTTTTTATTACACACTTTAAAACTTTAGTTCCGAACTTATACATATATCAATCGCTCTACTCAAGAAATCAACTCACGCGGGCGAAGCAGCTAGTAATTTAATGGCAAATTTTAAAATAAAAACCAATATAAAATGGTTACGAATTATATATCATGTTCGATTCAAAGGTCAAATCAAGTCTTATAAACTTAATTAAGACTACTTAAAATTTATAATACTTATTTATGAGACTTAATATTTAAATCCATGTATGTTTGTATGTTACATAACAAATACTGTTACACTTCTGTTATTTCTTTACAATGTAATTATTTATAATAATATGTAGTCTATCAAAGTTGACGATATGTACGTGTTTATTTTACTGGAACTATTCACACGTATGAATAATTAAATTTAGTGGAAACTCTCGTATTTGTACATTTACTTAAAAAAAATAATTAATTAATGAATATAAATATTCTTAGAAACCAATTTAATTTTAAATTCATTTAAAAGAAATATTAATAAAAACATTCTAGGAAAGTACGCCTTTTACAAAAATATAATACTCTACTTTTTTTTATTAAGATCGTAATATACCTAGATATATAAAATTTTCATGAGTAATGTTCCGTTTATCATAAACAATTTGATAACTATAATATTTACGATTACATTATTATCAATAAAGATAGAGAATTTATAATTCTTAGACATTTTACCAAATATATTCTTAGAACGTAAAGTGAATTTAAGGTTCAGCGAATAATTTTTAAATTAAAAACTGCAGACGATTTCAGTTTGTATAATATTGACATTTTGGATTTCATATCGTTTTGGTATTACAATCGCAGATTTCGAATTAATTGCTGTATCCATTGAGTAAGCTTGTTCAAGTTTACAAAGGTAACTTTGAACAGAAGTTACTGAAGTTATAAATTAATTACGAATGCTTTACCTCTTTGATCCTAATAGTTTAGAAGAGTAAATCACTTGCTTAAATGCTAGTACAGTGATTTATAATAATATATTGAGGTTTGGCTTAAATGGATTGTGGAGTTTTCAAATTAAAAAAAAATGAATGTTACATCTAAAATATATTTTTAATTCTACATATATACATATTTTTTTGTACACGTGGGAGATATAAATGAATAAGAATTAAATTAAATCTCATATAAAAAAGCTAAAATTCTTGTCTTTTGAACTTTATTTTAGGATAGATTTTTAAAAGACTAAGCATTACGTTCCAATAAAAATAAAATCATCATTTATATGGCTTTTACGAGTTTAATAATAATAATGTCAGTAACCAATTTTTAATAATTATTTTACAAAACTAAACGGCTGATTTAGAGTAAAGTCTTACCTGACTAATATAGATCCATACGGTGATGGTAATGGTGTACGAGATTGTTCCATCAGTCTATCCGCAAGCCACAGCTCTAGCAGTTCTTCAGTAGGCGCTTGGTGATACTTCATCCTCTGTTCAACTCGCATCCATTCTGCGTTATGTACTTCTGGCATTGGTAGACCTGACAAATTATGTTTCATATATATTGTACTGACATTTCTAGGCGCAGAAAAATTTATAGTTCTATTTAAAACACCTTAGCACCATTTTTAAAGCTAATTTTCTTTATACAAGCAGCTATTATGTTTAACAAGGTTAATGGATGCTAAAAGGTTAAAAAGAAGCGTGAGCCAAGTTAAAAATAGGCGTGAAAATTAAGAAAGAAAATATTGTGTAATGAAATTAATTAGATGTTGCTTATAATTAATGTAAAGATAATAAATTAGCTATGCTAAACTTTGGTGTTTTCTTTACGAGCTTTATTGAAGTAGGTACTCATATTAGAAAGTATTATTTGACTTTATGGTAAGAAAACTTACAATAACTTATTATATTATTTATTAAGGGACTTTATATATTATATAATTAGGCAAGTAATTCAGTCAATAGATATATTAGTAATAAATAATAATTAATCTTATCTACTCGTAACAATAATTAATCCCTTTAAAGTTGATTAATCGCCGTTTATCATAGCAATTTGATTCATAATTGTTTTTTAGCGTTTTTAGAAGCTATGTATAAGATAATAATAACAACATCTTACAATTAATAATAAGAAATAGCAGCACTGAAAAATATTTTATACGAAATTAAAATCTCGAAATAATAGCCCTTTGAGTTGCATTTGATTGCTTTGAGTTGCTTTGAGAAAAATAGGCATTTAATGATTCCCCCCCAACGTGCGTTCACCTTGTCGTGGTGGGCCCCCCCACAGTAGTGCCCGGCAATACAGCCGGGCGCGAAGCCAAGAAACGCTCAGGTAGATGGCCTACTTCGGAGGGCGGTGAAGCATGCGGGTTGCTCCTGGTACTTCTCTGATAGCAGAGTGGACCTTGGAGCAACCCTGTGGTTGTTGTGGTCTGCTTTGGCAGACCTGCCGTCGGGGCGTCGTAGTTGAACGCGTAAGCGATCTTGCGACGCCCCATTAAGACGGGGGAAGGCTTTGTTGGGTTTTAGTGGGTAGTACTGGATTTGCCGGTGAGTCCCACACCTCATGCGTAAATGCATTTCCCAACGTTAAAAAAAAGGCATTTAATGATTACCAATATTTTATACGATATAGAAATAGACATACCTTTTCCTTCAGCGTGGAAGAATTCCGCTAAGAGATCCAAGGCTTCCCTCAGCCTATGGTGGTACACTCTGGGTTTCTCCGCGCCACCGGCGTCAGCTTGACCCGATACCTCTTTTAGAACCGCGCTCCAACACCCCGCGAGCGCGCGAATGAACGCTCGAGGCAATAACCAGGTGTTTAAAGAAGATAAATGTTGGTCTAAGAATTCCAGGAGCGGTGTTATTGCCTGTACGAGTGAATTAAATTTTATTTATTTATTATTATGTCAGTTCATAACTTTATAATATTAATGTATCGCCGTGAAATACCAAAGAGACAAGAGAAACTCGATAAAAGCGCGTAAAAATAGCTTGGAGTGCTCCGCGCCCGGGTTATTAGGTTTATAAAGTTATAATGGCATGTGAATAAAGGCTGTGTTACTCGTAAGCGCAAGATCGCAAGCTTAGATTTAATAGGATATCATAGTCTGGAATTTAAAAACCTTCATTTTAATATGAACTCGACTGATGGAATAGATAGCAGTAAAGTCTAATAGGATTTTGGACCTAGAGTCAAGGCAGACTGTTTATATATTTATTTCATAATGTAATAATACATATTTTTTAAGGTTACTGATAATCACGTTCTTTACTTTTGCCTACTCCAAAAGGCAAAGCCAATAGTTTTCGTGTTAGACTTTGGCATTAAATGGCGTGTAACTTATTTTATCATTAAAAATAAATCCGGTAGGTCACTCGAATAGATACTATGATAAAAGTTTATTATGCATACCAATCGTATGTGTACTTTTTTATCTACATATTTTTTTATTTATAAAAAATAAATAAAAAACCTGACGTGTATATCTATTACAAGTGTACATTTACTGCATTTTATAATTAAAAGTTACACACATACAGCAGGAGAATCGTGAAAACTATCAACACCTGATATCAATTTGTGAATGTTGTTATATTTAGTACAAATCCCCAATATTGGAGACTGGTTTACCAGGTGGCATAGGTTTGGCTTGGGAAAAATAATAAGCGTATGTATAACCTATAATATTTATATAACTACGAAGCTAATATAAGGATGAGCTCTAAGTTGTCGAAGTACTGTATTCATCAGCACAAAGCAAATACTACCAAGTCATTAGGTAACAAATTAAGTACTGTTCGTACGAGCTTTTGTCATCGATGACATATCAAGTACTCATTTATAAAGAGCTGTAGATTCGTGCAGCTGCGCAGTAAGAGAATTTAACATTTTCATCGAATACCTCTTTTATTATAATCCATACTTAGGTAAATGAAAAGCAGTACCGAATGAAAGGTTTCTATGTAGATATATATTATAATTTCTGTTGATTGTACTCTGTAATGTAAAAATGTACTTGAATTCATAAAATAATAGTTGTTAGCATTTCAGCTAATTTAGTTATATTTACATACTTTGCATTGGATTATACACCATTTGCTTAATTATAAGGATATTTGGATTTTATCAGTTTAAATTGAAATAGTTCTTAATTATTATGATGCAAAAAGTATTTGTTTCTATCCATTGCAGCTCTTACTGTAATACACTTTTTGCAGGATCCCTTTTCATTGTGATCTTTCTTGAATGTTCAATGAGAACAATTAGGCAGTTTCAATATGTGTGTCCCTTTTATAAGCGTATATTATCCTAAAATTATTTGGAAGTCATAAGAAATTTCATTTAAAGATATTATTTTATTTAAATATAGGTAATATTACCTGTGGTGTCGGTAGCGTGTCTGGAGACCAGGCGAGGTGGAAGACCGCCTTGCGTAGAGGCGGGCGTGCGCGGGCAGACAGCGGCGCGGCGGCGCGAGCTGACCGCGAGTCCAAAGTGCCGAGCGCGCCACGAACTAGTTGTCGTGCGTTCTCGTCATTGGCACTAAGGATTATTAAACACCTAAAGTTTGCCTAATAGGTCGAATCTACTCATTAATAACCCAAAGTTTGTCATATGCTACAAGAAATATCTTTTATATCGTAACATTTAACAATAAAAGCTTTATAGTAAAAAATAGAGGTCTCCGTATAATGCCTAACGTAAAATGCCTTTTTTTGTATAAGGAGCAAAGTTAGCTTAATTACAATGCGAACTTTATAATAACAATACAAAAAACTGATCAAATTTAAATCAAATTCATAATGTTAAAAAGTTTTCTTTCAACCTGTCTTCAGCATAAGGCTCTAAATCATGTATAATGCAAATATAATACTTTAAGAGACTCGGTATAAGAGTCCATCCATTAGACTTGTTTTTTTTGTTTTGAATAGCTTTAATCTATTTTTCAAAGTCTGTTCTCTACTTTGCATCGATTTTGTATGACTAGATTTTAGTTACTTTTACTTTTTTAAGCTGACATATATAACATATGTATGACGGTATTTATTATTATATTACTAGCAACTCACTCGCTCCGCTCGCGGTCGCCCCTAGTTACTTAACTTTACTTACGTAAAAATGGAGGGTGGGGGTAGGACGGTGAAAAATACTTTACGACCTATTCTCATATCTACCAAATATAGAAAAAAAAAATCATTAAAATTAGTCGAGCCGTTTCGGAGGAGTGTGACCACAAACACCGTGACACGTGATATTTATATATGTATTACATTGTTAGCCCTTTTTAACATCCCACTGCTGAGCACGCCCCTTCAATATGAGGGGGATCAAGTCATAATCTACCAAGCTGGCTAAGAGCGGGTTGGCGGACTACACATGTCTTTCGAAAACTTGCTAGGTTCTCTCAGACATGCAGGTTTCCTTGCGATGTTTTCCTTTACCGTAAGGCAAATGGTAATCATGTTGGAACTGATTCGGACATGAAAATATCAGAGGTGCGAGACCCAGGATTTGAACCTGCTTCACTCGGTTTCCCAAGTGAGCGCGCTACCACTGCAATATGTAAGTTTTCTATTAATACATTAGGGATTTTTTTCTTTTTTTGTAATAACTGTTCGTTAGTGAAACGGTAAAATTAATTCCAATCGTTTTAAAGACTAACCGGTACAAATAAACAGACAAACAAACTTTATTATAGACATTAAAGAAAGTAGTTTAAGCAAAACTATGATGTTCTCCTGAATGATGTTGAAACTATAATAATAGATAATTGCTATCATATCACAGCCGATCACAGATAATTCCGTGAAATTTTCAATTTTGTTAAAAAGCGTTTATAGATACAGTAATAATTTTATAATACACAGACGAATAATGTATACTTTGTATTCAGTGGAATCTTAAAATTGAAATGAAATGAAAATTATTGACAATTTTTGTAGTCAATATTAATTATATATATAATATTAATTATATTAATATAATATTATAATAATTTTATAGTCAATCAAGAATAATAGCAATTTGTCATAATCTAGTAAGAAAATTTATTTACAAACTAGTTTACAAAAAATAATGCTACTATGTGTATTTATGTCTACTTTGCCGTCGCCGTGATGACTAAAGCAAAGAGCAATGAAAATAATATTTTATAGGTACAAATAACATTTCGATATATTGAGTTCTTTACATGAAAACGAAATTAGAGAACTTGAAACACTAAGAACAATATATATATATATATATATTTCTCTTTGTGAGCTCTTGGACTATTTTAAAATGGATACGAGCGTTACAGACATAATATCTTTTATGGGCATTGTAGTCACGGTAGAGGGATTATAAGGCACTTACATGTGTTCATCGTCGTACTCGCAGAGCGAGCGGCGCACGTACTCCAGGTTGTTAACAATTGTGCATATCTCCTCCGTAGTTTTGTTTTGACCTATAAAGATTAAATATTAGATATCTTTTTCTATAGTTAGCTTACAACGTATTGTATATAAAGATATAAGGTATTTTATCAAGGAATTATCAGTATCGACCTGTTGGGAAGTTAGTGGGATCACCCTGACATGCCTCGGAAAGCATGTAAGTCACACATATCTTCTGCGTAGAAAGTTAATCTTAGTGACGTTTGGCACTGAATATGTAGGTACTAGGTGTATTATTTAGTCTTATAGCTCGTAGTTAAGCTTATGAATAAAAAGTAAACTAGTAAAGTTAAAGTTTAAATATTTTGTTCCACAACAATTTAATTAATCAAGTAGATGCCTATTTGCCACAAAGATTTCAGTAATCCAACCGGGGAGATTAAACATTCCGATTTGTTTTCAGTTTTTATTACTTTATACAACGCGAGCCACTTTATTTGAAACTGAGTCAAACTCGTGGCCAATAAGTGCAAATTAAATTGTCATTCATAGACTCGTGAACTTATTCGCAATATTTACACATGAAAATAGGAACTGTCTAAATAACGTCCTCATATGTGAAAATTGTGTACGTGATATTTTTGTGATAAGCTCTCTGGAAGTTTCTTATACTTGTAAGTCCTTGGAAACCAAAACAAAAAATAGTTTTATATCCAATGGTTTCTTATTGAGTAATATATACATGTATGTATATAATCGATTTTATTCAGAAGAGATATGAAATAAAATGTGTTGTAAGTTTGAATAAATGTTTTCCCTCCTAACCCTAATCCCTCGAGAGTATTTTAGAAGAATCTCCTCGAAGCATATTATAATGTTCAGACTCGGGACTTGAAAATTTATATTAGAGCACTTGTGATTTTATTGCGTACTGGGTTTTGCCCGTAGCTTCGCTCGTGTAGTCAAATGATATTATGTAATTGATCTATTCTAGAGGTTGTTGGATGATATATCAATGCCTATAACTATCCTCTATAGTTACGTCCTCGATAATGATGTGTAACTATATGATTATGTTCAAACAAATAAATTTATTTACAAAAATAATAAAGCAACTGCGTAATAAGGAAACTAAGAAGATGAGAACAAGTTGACGTACTCGTAGAAAAAACCATCTCTACGAGTTTACGAGTATTAACTCGTATTATGCAGTCGGCGATACACGTAGCAACACTCGCAGCTTGTATAAAACGTGTACACATGTGTCTCCGACTGCATTATACTATGTTTCTTCGTCAACTTGGTCTTGTCTTTTTAATTCGCTTTTTACACAGTTGCGTTTTTTTTATTTTTGTAATTTATTTTCTTATTTCCAGCTTTTTTTGGGTTACTTTTTTTAGTTTTATGAAACAATTTCTTATCCTAAATCTAGATACCCGGTAGCGTGTCAAGCCAAGTTTGTCAAAGGAACTAGCGACGCAAAAGAAGTTGAAATTTTGGCGTCCAGAAGGGCAAGTGTGTGTATGCAAAGGAAAAAATCCTATAACAGTGAATTTTTACGATTTGAAATATTTTCCAAACAATCAATTTTTATTAACACCTAGCTTCTAACGCCTTTCATAATTATAATAGCAAAAACTTTTTCTTTTGCAGGAGAATAGCTTCCGTGATGAAAGGTCGCTTTTAACGTTTTGTATACCAAATTATTTATAAAATGTGAAAACTAGCCAAGTCAAATCTTGAGCTTCATTTTATCCTAATTTTTTATTTGTGTAATGAACTCGACTGTTTAAATTTAACAAGTTATACTTATAAATAGCAACTTTGTTGCAGCAAAAAAAAAACAAAAAATTGTGTTTTAAGTTTATTTCAGAATGTTTTTATAAATAAACTCTCAGGATTATCTACTGAACTTGGCACTCATTAGATCTCAATTCTTTTATCGGTGAAGTCGCCAACTACGTATATTCTTAATATTGAACTTGGCTTCCATTTTCACATTTATGTTTTTGATGGGTTACTTTTAAACATATAAGTTGTGTATATTTTTGGTCTCATCTATAAAAACTTTGTATGTTGATACCCCAATCGACTGATGATTTTTTTAAGAACAAATTGACGTCTACGATCAGCCATTTCGATTTTTAATGATATCTATATAGCCTATGATACTCGTGACTCGTGTTATCAAGACAACTCTAACAACGTATGAATGATCAAAATCGGTTAGTTATTACGAGGACACTTACACAAAAGTCAAACACATAACCGTCTCTTGAGCTTTGTCGCAGTCGAATAAAAACAAACTCTTTGAAATATTATTTAAGATTATATAATAAACTTCATTTTTTAAATGTTGCGATGAACATTTATAACACAACTTCAAAGAATTTTGTTATATTAGATTACTAATAACAAACGCTGATTAATTATCGCTCGAATGCGCTTTAAGTGGTTACAAGTACTTATCTTCTAATGAAACACACGTTCTGAGTGGGCCAAGTAAGCACGCTTGTGGTTTTGTTTATAGCGTTGGAAATTTCATAATTCGCTACAATATTAAATACAGTCTGTTTAGTATATTTTTAATTAAATTTATGTATACTTGTATTTTAGATTCTTTTTTTTACTTTGGGCACACAGTAGACAATTATTTCGCCACAAAGCAAAGCATTTATAGCTCATAATTTCAAACTAAAAAAGAATACTAAAGTCTACATCACATTATTTCAATTTTCATATCATTAAACAGATACCAGCGTTGTCAGTCGAGTGCACTTTAAGTGGTTACAAGAACGCTCCACTGGGATACGTGTCACATTGTACTAAGTGAGCACGAACGAACAATCTTAATGTACGAGTTCGTTTATAGTTACAAAGCGTTCTTGGACCAAAATAAAATAAGTTATAAACACTATATTATGGCTATGTATTGAAATTACAACTTATCAGGTTTTGACACTATCTTTTACGAAGTAGCTAAAGGAAATAGAACTAATTAATACGGTGTTTGATGCCACTGTCGTTTATACTTTGCATTCTTAGGTACCTAACAGACGTATGCGTGTTACTCCAGGACAGTCTCATCTTCTTTCTAAATTGTATTCTAAATTTCTTTTCTTTATATTTTTCCAACTTTCGACTTACATAATAACTACAAATTGTTATCCACTCGCCAAATCTACATATTAAATTGCGTACTTAAAGTTCACCGTCACTTACCTTTTATTCCTAGTCTGATCCAAAAACGTAGGGGTAAGGCCGTTTGTCCTATCCCTACCAGTAAAACCAAATTTAAGAAAATGCAATTTAACTGTCAATCGGCATATCTTTACAATAAGCTTAACAGCAGACTTGACATTTACAGTCTTTCAATAACAGAATTAAAACGTGTACTAACTAAAACTTAAACTTATGATGAGACTGAAAAATTGATGATCAATCAAAACGTCGTATAAAACATGTTCGAACATCCCATATTTACGCACTTTTATGTACACATAGGTAACACGTGCACACACACACACACATACACATGCACACACGCACATAAACACACACACACATGCTCACACACACACATGCACACACACACAAACGCAAACTTATATATGTAATTAATTGTAAATTTTTAGTCTTGGTGGATGAGCGGGGCACCCAGTAATACGGGTCTCCACCTAGTACAGGGGCCCTTGCGACTATCTTGGAATGTAATCTTTTAAGTCAATAAAAGTATTTTTTTTTATCCTATATTTTATTCAAATCCGTCCAGCAGTATCAACGTTAAGGAGTAGAGTAGTTCAATACATTTATCGTCATCATTCTTTTTATATTTTATGTATGCATATCGTTCACGTGAGTTTTTATGAAATTAAAACTACTTAATAAAAAAAAATACCGTGATTTTCATAATATCCTTGGTCAGCAAGGGCCCCGTGTACGAGGTCAGCGTAGTGAAGCGCGGTGGCGCATGCCGCTTCCAAGAGTCTGAGTCCGCCACCCACCGTGCCCTCTTCCACGCCGCCAATAGCGCGCCATACCATACGCATATGGTATAGGCTAAATATGAAATAAAATGGCAATAAGAAAAGAGAAACACTTCTCGTGCTTACCTCATACAAATATCTTTATTGTAATGATAATTTTTAATTGCTTTGCTAGAGCCTTTTTATACTCGAAGAATCCCTCAAAAGCCTAAAAAATGCTCGTTTTTTTCACTACGATCAAACATTCATTAACTAAATGAAACAAAGAAAAACAATCTTAAGCTTTTGAAGGGGAAAACGGGCGACCATCCAGGGGAATCAGGATTTTCCTTATTTCTCGCAGCCATTAATCATTATTAACCTCATGTTTTGTCGTTATTTCCGTCACACTGTACAGGATACGGGTTGAGGTAAAGTGACGATAGTAACAATTGGATATGCATTATGCAACCGCCAATGTAATTGCAGCATGCCAATCAAGAAGTAACAAAAATATTATTGGGTCAACTTACAAGGGATTTATTTTACTTTAAATAACAATTTTAGAAATCTCTATAAAGTGTTAAAAAATATTCCATTTGATATTTCGAAGATTTTTTTCCGAAAAATTTAAAATCACACGTAAAATATGAAAGGGGTAAAAATACTTATTGTTATTGTTATGTGAATTATTTTTTATTACTTGTTTATAATTGCATATGTATGTGATTTAAGGTTAATTTTATTTACTTACCAAGCAGCTGTATCGACAGACGATGTGCTATGTTTAACTATGTGTTCACCCTCCACAGTGCGATCTGAGTTCAAAGAAAATAATAGTAAAATAACAGTAATATTATTACAGTTTTAAGCAAGCTCAATTATAATTGAGTTTCATTCTCACGGAATCTTCGTCTAATTTTAGTGGCATGTATATAGGTACAAACGTATGTACATATTACACATACTACTATTACATATTTGTATTTTTATAGAACATATTATTAAAACTTATGTTATCTACATAAAAAGTTATTAGCAAGTATAATTTAAATAATTTATGAATAAATGTACATTCATACATATCCTTTTATTTCCATATATTCATTTATATATTATGAATAAATCAAATTGTTTCATTTTAATTGATGCGTAGCACGCAGTGATAGCAAGCTCGATAAAATATCAATAAAGGTAAGTTTTGGTGTGAATTTTGTGTAAACTGTAACAAACATTTGAAAGCAATCTTTTATTTGTCGAGTCAATAAAAGCGTTCGTGTTACGAGACCGTTTAGAATCCGATGCTTATCTAAATGGCGGCCGGGCTCGGGTGTAAACCTTTACTTCGCCCTAACAATTAGGCGTACCCTTTCATTTTCAACACATTTATATTCGATGTTGCATAATTAAAATTACCTTATCAACTGTCACTGATTTTGCGTTTATCAATCACATGGCGAGAACATGATTTCCTCGTTATACAAACCTACGAATGAGCTTTCAAAAAATATCATGACATCACTTTGAAAATCTACCTGCTAAATTTTAAAATGTATGCATGATGTAATACAAAAGTTAGGAATACATGGACATTAGAAACGATTTTATTTTATACTCTACAAATTACACCGTTTAAGCTCCAGTAAGACCGTTTAAACTCCAGAAATAAAGGAGCAATATTCAAGATACATAAGATCGTGGGCGATTTTATATGGATATAAAGTAAGATTAGCCCGGTCTGTTATTACTTCATCAATAGCATGATAATAAAATGTAACGCTATTGTATTTGGCCGCTTTTACCATTCATCTCGAGTTTACGATAGATTTATCGTCAACGCCTCCCGGGTATAAATTTCATATTTTCACATATCAACATCTTGGGTTACGTTATAAAATATTTTCTGATATTGTATTTTCTTATTGAATTGGCTTCTCATGCCATAGAAATATAGAGGTTTGACATTGTTTCGAAATTGAACAAATATTTTGTTCTATATAAATTTTTATTTAAAGAAAAAGCATATTGAAACGTGAAAATTTTTATAATTTTATAATGTGTAATATTGAACTTATAGTGGAGACTTATAGCTATAGGTTTATGTGGTTGATGTTTGTATGTATACATACCTAGTTCTACCGCGGCTCGTACGCGTTGTAAAGCCATGGTTTTAGTGACTGCCAGCCATCGATCGATCAGCGGCTCAAACCATCTGCCGAATTACATTCGTATTATAATATACTACCTATATATGGCACTTAAATTTACCAATATTGCAATTGAACGGGTTAACATAGATAGATATATAGATAAATACTATATTGCATACACAAAAGAAGTGTACAGAAGATGAAAAGAAAAATAACAAAAAAGCATGCAGAGGCGGTCTAATTGCTATGAGCAATCTCTTACAGAGAATTTTTGGTGAAAGGATTAGTGGAAGCGTAAAAATGTTTAATTAAAACTTAAATTCCGTTTTAACCGACTTCCAAAAAGGGGGATGTTCTCAATTCGTTGGAATCTTTTTTTTATGTATGTTCACTGATTACTCGAAGACGCCTGAACCGATTTCGAGTTATTTTTTTGTTTCAAAGAGCGTACTTTCCAGGTGGCCCTATTTAAATTTTATCGAAATCAGTCGAGAGCTTTTTAAATAAATCAACAATAAATATTTATTTCAAACAAATTAATCGAATATGTTATTAAAAACTTTCTTCTTACAAATTACCTGCTTATTACGTCTACTTTTTACGTTTTATTTATCTGTATAGATACCTAATCAGACATTTTCGAAGTCGGTGCCAGCCGACAATGTTTTAAAACATAAACATCTAAATGTAAATAATATAGGTAAATATCATAATGTATGAACTCTAATTATAGTTTAAATATTATACATCAATTTGTGATGTATTTTACGTATCGAAATATATTAGATTTGCTTTTCATCGGCTGGCACCGACTTCGAAAATATCTGATTAGGCATCTATTTCTAAATGAAAACCCCTGTTTAGTTACATTTTAGTGCCTGGAAGCCGGGTTTTATTTTATTTTTTAAGTTTTTATACTCTTTTGATGTAATATTATGTAGAGCTCATATTTTGCAAGAATTGAATCTGCAACCGCGGATACAGTTTATATTATAAATGACACGGACTTTGTTCTCCAAAATATATAGTGTAAATGTTATCTAAAAGTTCTGCTCGAGAATATATGTTGACGACCAAGTGATTTAATATGATTTATATAAACATAAAGGTACAAGGTAAGTAAACACTAATACCAAATATCAAAACATTGAAACGGTTAGAAAAGGTAATTCAAATGGTAAAATATACGCTTGATTACAAAAATGTATGAGTTAACATATTTTAATAGTTCTATAATGGAATTAAAATACTAAAACAGTCAGATTTATTATTAAATTATTATAGAACAATTTTATAGAATTATAATATGTATAATATATTAATTGCACTACAGTTGGCTTGCGACGTCTTTGTTTCGCCATAATAACCACAGTTGACGTTTACGATGATCGCCTTGGATACGCCATGTCAAATGTGCATTGTGAAATATTCGTCATACAAATCAGTTATCGTAGCACCGAACTATGAAATGATCGTCGGAAAGCTGAACGAATTGAATGAAAAAGGTATTAAGATTATACTTCATGGCTATAATATAATTAATATATATTTATTTTATGATGGATCGCTTATAGTTCAAATTTTAGAACTAAATTGAATCAAGCTACTTGATTGACGTACTATACATATTATATGTACTCTACATATGTATACAAATACACTACCAAAGAAACGTTTCACTTTAGAAATTAACTATTTTGTATTTGTTTATTTTATTTTTCTTACATATTTAAATATAGTTATTACATATATTTTATTAACTTTATTTAAAAATTGATTTATTGAAACAAATATACTCTCTTTGTAAATAATCTAATAATATATTTTAATTTAGTAATATTTGTATAGGTACAAGTTGTTAAAAATAGCAAAATGGACATAATAACCGTGTTCTCTCAAATGGCACTTAAGAACAAAAGCTTCTTTACACCAAAACATCAGACCGTCTCAATTGTACGTGCAACGAATTTTGAAAAGGCTATTAAATAATAATGGTCTATTTCCTTATTCGTGTGTAGAGCGCTGTTGATGCTGAGATATTTACGGATTCATTCAAAGTACTTAGTCGTACAACTGTACAAGTACTTAGTATAAATAATATATTTACGCATTGAAATATCAGACTCTGAGACTCGCAAGCAGCCCAAATGCGCAAAAGCTCCGTTTCCAAACTCAAACAGAATTGTTATAAATTATATGTAACTGAATATTTATATGATGACGAAAGTTACAAGATAATAATATTTATATTTTCAAATAAAATTGAAGTATCAGTGTGCAAGTGTCTTCTACCCCACATTGAGCTTTTATTTTTATATTACTTTAATATTTGAATATCATTGTTTGCACGATACAAAAATCCCGATAAACCATTAAAAATAATGCCTGAACCAATTTAAATGGAACTTTCTTAAGAAATTCATTTTCATTCAATTAAGAAATTAATTGAAAAAAATTCTCGTCTAAATTCTTAAAGATTTCGGACGAGAAAAAAATGTTTTCCCGTCGGAGAATGAATTGTAAATTGTTTTTTGTATCTTTACTTTTGTAGCAAGTTGTGTTAACTTCTATCAAGATAACTTAACAATTATTATATTAATAATATTACACAGCTAATCGAAATATCGTTATTACTATTGTTTTGACCTGCAATAAATAAATAAAGAACAGATTCATCAATTTCAATGGGTCTTCAATTGGCGATGGAGAATTCAATGGAAAATAGTATGAGCAACTTAATATCATGAAAAAGGAGAGTGTTCTCTCGGGATAGGAGATAGAAGTTTTTGTAGGGTTGTAGTGAAGACAGAAGCGAATCGAAGGACGGTCATGTAAACATTGTACATAAATAATACATTTATTTCGTATAATATTTCATAATTAGATTCATCTTCTTACTCTTACATATCTGGCAAAAATGATAAAATAAGTGATTACATTTCGTATCAAACACTCGGAGCTTATAGCCAAGTGACTTTGGGGAGTGTGTCAATAGAGCCTAAACTCAAACAATAATTAGATTCGGAGCGAACTCGATCTCATCTAACGTCAATATAAATAAATTTGTAATTTGGAATACCAATGGCATCGTAATATTCCCAGCTAGTTCGCGGGCGAATGCCTTCGAAAATTAGATTTTTTTTTCATTGAGAGATCAAAATTTGCAAGAATTGCTATTTTTAAAGGTTATGCAAATACCGTAAACTTGGAAATGAGGGCAGCTTCTTTCAAGTCCTCTAAAGTGATGCCATATTGAGTTGTAAATTTACGTTATGAAATATCAATCCCTTCTCGTACCTTAATTTTCTAAAGACTTAAGAAAATTAAAGATACCATACAGCATTTAGTATTTTTTTATTTATGTATTTATTCTGGTATTGTTGTAGTCATTACATATTAATTCAATGATTAAATATATTTAACAATTATATGTAGAGTTATAGGACTTAAAGCTGACGATAAATAGTATTTTCTATAACATTTTTTTTTAATTTACGGCACGATGCCATCTTCTACTAATACAGATTTTATTATGGTATCAAAGGTAATTGATTGTACTATATTCACTTTAGATTGACTGAACAAGCAGTAATGGGTTTTTTATTGCATAGGAAATAGCATCAATTAAAAACAGATAAATTTTATTTCCATATAAATGCCACAGAGTAGCAAAATAAGTGGTTGTATCATTTATCAAAATACGTACACGAGCGAAGATACATGCTGTGGTTTGTAAAAAATAGACTTACTGATAGGCATCTAGCAGCAGAGGCGGCGGATCGTGTGCGGCGTGAAACGAGGGTGTAGGCGACGCCGCAGCGCAAAGCTCTCGCACCGCCGCTAGTACTTCAAAAGGTAGAGTTTTCGCTGACACTATGCACACTAGTGAAGAAATGATTATTTATTTTATTAATACAGACCTTTTCCATTCCAAGTATCAATTAGGTTTGAACTTACACAATATTTGTATAAAATAATTTCTGAAGTTTTATTTATAATCAAAAAGTGAAGATGTTTGGACGTTTGTAATACAATCACGTCATCGTGGAACGGATTTGAGTGAAATTTGCCATATAAAGAGACCATATAGGTAGGTACTAAAAAGAAAAGAGAATAACCACTTGCACAGAAAAAGACAATTTAAAGGGTAGGGATCGCATTTTAGTTTGTTTCATTTTATATCTGTTCTTGAAGACATTATGGCAGTCTAATTTGTAAATTGTAACTTAATAAATGTTGACAGGCCAACATTTTTATCTTAGTTTTTTTAATGTAATTAATTTTTATTATAAATATTTAAGTACGTTTTATATTATCATATATAAGCGCATTAAAGTTTTTATTTTAATATGATTTACATTCACTAAGATATTTTTAAATTAACTAACTTTTAATCGTAATATGTATTTGTTAATAGAAGATATTCGCTTATAAGATTGTGAAAAAAAACCCTTAAAATGAAAGTGATCCGGAAGTTTCACCTATGGCAAAATAAGTTTAACATATTTTTAATATATTTTATTTAACACAAAGCACAAAATCCGCACATATTATGAAGGCTTGAAAAATGAAGCAAACTCTTAATCATATTAGCATATTTCGTAAAATGAACTTTGTCGCATATTTTAGCGTAGTTACTAAATGACATCATAGTGTAAGTTTTCCGGAAGTTTCAGCTAGAGCCTCATTTGTTATTCAAAGCGCTATCCGCGCTGCACGCGAGGCTTATCTTAAAATAATATTTATGTATTCTGATGAATATACTTGAAGATGTTTTGTGTAAAATGCCTGTTATTTGTCGTTCTTCTTAATACTTGGTGTCTATTATGAAGATATTAAAGCTTTATTTATGTCTATACATTATCAAAAATAATCCAAAAAATTTATACATATATATAATATGAAATTGTCGTTTTAGTACTGGGTACTAAGTGATAATTACTTACTTCCGATACCCTGCTCGTCGAATATCTCTTCTTCAGCGACCCCGCACCAGCCCTCAGCCACCCAATGTTCGACGCATTGTTTAACGTCTTCAGATACCTGTCAAAACTTCTATAAGTTATACATTTTGTCCCATCAATAATTTATTACAAATAAAATAGGTAATAAAATAACCTATGTAAAAATTTAATTAAAAAAACCATTCATTCCTTATTAATTAATAGCATAATTTTCATTTTCTCCATAAAAGTTATAAATGAAGTGAAGAATAATAATTTAACAAGTGATTAGTAATTAAGATTAATATTTACATCGTTTTTGAACCGCGACTATAATTTGAAGCAGTAAATCATTTAGATTCGTGTCGACTCGAGCCTCGTGCTATTAATAAATTTTGCCAGTAATAATAGAGGCCAATAACGGTTAATAGAATTTTAAAAGAGAGTAATTTAGCTACAATTTTAAGGAAGCTAGTGTTAATTATAATCAAAATTACAGCGATGTCAATTTAAAATTATTAAGATATTAATGCAAAATGTTTATATATTTTTAATTTTTACTACACGTTGTAAGTATTTTGCGTCACTAAAACGAATGTTGGATGGTCAAGTCCCATATTATCTGTCTCGTATGAGAAAAGAACAGAAAATTTCCACGTACCATTCAGAACTTCTGGCAATTCTATTAAGAATATAAAATACCAAGTAAAATATAGCGCCTTTTCGGCAAAGGATTATAGTTCCGTTCATATTTACCTACGTCGCTGGGGCCGGAATGTTGATGAGATGAAATATCGTACATACTTTTCTTTTTAGGGTAGAGACACTTTTATAAAGCATTCTTTTTACATATTATATTATCTTTGACATTAGAAAATTTAATTTACTTACATTGCAAATAAAATGTTTCATAATGAAACCAGGAAAATATTAACTAATAATAAACCTATAGCAATTTTCCGCTTTCGAAAAATTATTTTTTTGTATTTTTATTTATATATAGAAGAATTACTCATTGCAAAAATTAATTACGAACTTTATCATTACGCTCATAATTATATACCAGTAGGTCATATTATATTCAATATTCTGTTTTTATTTTTTGAATGGTCTTTAGTTCACTTCTTTATGGTAAAAGTACCATGCTGGCTGAAGTATACGTACCTCCCATTATTAGTAATGAATTTTTGTTATATTTAAATTATGTGTTATCTGTACATCTATCACTTACTTAAACCTAGTTTTATGAATTAATCTCTTATGTCAAAATTATAATTTTAATTTCTATAATATTTTTATAAAATCAATTAACCGTTATGTACTCACCATTTTGTCGATTTGCGTGAAGACGACACTGAAGTATGGTACGTTGTTGGTCCTAAAAACAATCAATACTAGTATAGCCGTATTAGTACAAATAACACAAAAACATTTCTCATCATCATCTCATTTCTCGCAAATATTGATACCGCAAGGGTAATAAACAAATTACTAAGCAAAAACTTTAGCAGTATGAATATTAAATACTCGTGGGAACAGAGCTACCGGCACGTTGGCAGGGTGACCACGGTGACACGTTACAAACAGAGATGAAGGGCAAAGGAAAATAAATTTTCAGCGCTTCCACTCATCAAATAAATTAAACAATACAAGTACTGCCTACATATGTATAGACCTGATTAAATATGCCAGATTTCGATGTGAATTTTATAGAAATTAGTCATGAATATATTATTAGTTAAGATAACTTAGTTAATTTTAAGTGATGTCATTAAATTTAGATTTATCTCCCTTATCACTGCTATAGAACGCAATAAACAATATAAATTGTTTCTGGCTTTCAATTTTAAGAAAGCATATTTTTCACTTGATTTTATAAAACCCAATACGAGGGGGATCTGGCCATAGTCCTCCACGCTGGCCAAGTGCGGGTTGGCAGACTTTACATGTCTTTCTAAAACTTACTAGGTTCTTTCAGACATGCAGGTTTCCTCGCGATGTCTTCTTACAGCGTAAGACAAGTGGTAATTATGTTAGAAATGATTCGCACATGAAAATATCAGAGGTGCGAGACCCGGGATTTGAACCCGCTTCACTCGGTTTCCCAAGCGAGTGCGTTATCACTGGACTATCACTGCCTCTATATGAAACCCAGAGATGTAGACATATGACAATACTACCCAATATGAACAGGGATCACAATATAAGGCTCTTACTGATAGGACTCTGAGTTTTTTGAAAGGGAAATCATATTTGCGTTATTGAATTTAGTGTCGTTCGTTACTTTCGGGACGTGACAAGATGTTTTATCACGTTTTTTTTTATTAAACAATGACTTTAACGTAAACGTAACAAATAAATAACAAGTGATTAAATTAAATGAAATGATATTTGTTCTAGATGATGTTACAATGACATATAATCATAAAATACCTCAATTTTATATTTTATGATTTAATGCGTAATTCGTATCTTCATGCTACATCTTCTTACAAGACTACTTTCTTCTTACAAGAAAACTTGTTTTAAGTTATTGCTAAACAAAATTTATATTATCAGCGACAACACAGTATAGAAATATATCTTTAACAAATTGCAAAGATAAAATATTTAACGTTCATTTTCCTCTGCTTGTATAACATTTTATAATTTCCTACTATATATGTATATTCTTACTTTATGAAATGTATGTTTTTATGTATACGGAATTTCAATTCATATTAGTAATTTGTTTTTTACTCTGCCCAGTGAATATTTATTTTACGTAGCTGTAAGCACTAACAAATATCACTACGCGCAAAGTAAGTTTTAAATTTTAAAAACTATTATCTACTATAAGTCTAATTTTAAATTATTTTACAAGAGAAGAAGATAATATTTAATTTACTTACAATATAAATTGTATATACTCAAGTATATATAAATTGTTATATACCTCAAGTATATGTATTATATAAATTGTTTTGTGTACAATGTATTTTAATAACTGAACGCATGTATCTAAACCCCTAAAATCATGACTTAGGCTTATTTTATCACGATACATGAAGTATCCTTTGGATATGAGCCTGTTGCAAGATTAGCTGTGGGACAGGTTATTGATATTTAATAAAAATTTACGCTCTCCTGTACTTACATTAATAATTAAATATGTTTTTCTAGATAAATATTTGTAGTATTTCATGCCTCGAGTGCAAAAGTAGATTAGCATGTGCATAAAATTGAATTTTTGTGAACGTCTGACATTCAAAATAATCATATTTATACGATGAGAATACTCACGTATCAAACAACGGATGATAATACGTGAGTCCTTGTTGCATGTCAATCTGAACCAATGTGATGAGGTTGACGAGGTCCTCCCCCCGCTCCGAGTCCGTGTCCTGCGCGCAGAGCGCCTCGTACCACTCCGCTGTGCCCTTACGAAGTGCGCCTACTATTTCACTTCTACGTACAAATATATTGCATTTGTAATATTTATATCGCAATATACTTATGTATGTTAGGTTTTTTAAAGAATAAGTATACGTCATTTATTAAAATATATTTGGTTTTAGTTGTTAATGATAAATATGTATGTACATTGTACAATTATATAATATAACTTGTGCGATATATCTATTATATATTTATTATTGTTATAACGTTATAAAATGACAATTATTAAAAAAAAATGTAATCGCCGTTACGTAGAACACAAGTCCCGATTCCGTTCCCCAAACAGATATCTGTACAAGCAATCGGATTAATTGCTGTATTTGCGGTAAAGGATTCATCTTTTCATGAAAAAGTTCTGAAAATTTTACTTAATCCACTTACGAATGATTTCTATTCCCTAAGATTACATAAACTTATCGCATTATTTACTTATTACAGCTTTAATAGGGATTATATAAAGTTAACTGACCTGATTTCGTTGTTAAAGGGGCAACAACGCCAAAAAGCTTTCATCTGCGACAGTTGATTAAGACAGCGCAAAAGGAATTCGAGTCTGTAATAATAAATATTTATGTACATTCTGTTGTTGGAGTTTTATCACGTAGAAAAAATATTTCAAGCGATATGAAATGTAAATATTTATAATTCGAATAAGTTCTTACATTACTTTAATATTGCATATTGGCTCATTTTATTGATATTCTTATTGCGCGTATAAGACAGATATGATCTGTATTATAAATGCGACAAGTTACGTGAACCATATAGCAATAAATCGTGCAATACATCGATCCTAATAGGTAACAATATTATTTAGAGCTTTTCTAAACTAAATAAATGTAGTATTCTACACCTCAAGTACTTGAATACGTACTTATTTAGGCTCAAATGATGTAACACAGGATACAAATCTCTATGTAGGCGTAATTGATGGAGAGCCCTTTCAACGAATTCGCAGAAACAAACAGCAAGCCAGCGTTCCTCGTCGCGCGTCGCGCCCGAGCCGGAGTCTCCGCTTCCGCTCCCGCTGAAGCTCTCGCTCGCGCACCAAGCTCGCTCTAACTCAGTCAGCAGCTTATACATGTACCTATTGGTTGTATTGTTCATTATATTTGTTACTGCTTTGCCTTATGTAATTAGTTTCAGTAAAAATCTAGTAATTATTTAGGTTTCATTTTTCAGCTTTTACGTTTGTTTGATTTGGTACACTTATTTTTATTTAAATATGAGCATTGAGTACATATTTGATAGGAAAAAATTTAAGATGCTTCTTAATTAGAAATTAGTATAGTTATAGTATAAAATTAAAACTAATAATATTTAAGCTCTACATATTTAATATTTCTTAAAAATTATGTACTCGTAGTTATCGTAGGTCTAAGAAATAAAATAAATGATTTTTGTACGTTATTCTTTACAGATTCACAGAAAACGTAAACACGACTTAAGATATCCTAACATCAATGTCTTAAATGATAATAATACTAACTTTGGATCCAGTGGCGCTTCGCTATTAAGCTTGCAAGAGGCGGCAAAGCGTGCAATAGCCGCCTGGAGCGAGCTCAAGTCTCCTTGTACCGCGTGTTGGTGCAGCAGGGTCTGCGCTGCATTGCATAGCTCTCCTTCCCATTCTCCGCTCTCACTCTCCGCTCCACTTGTCTGTGCGCTTGCATTTTCAACCTCGTATGCCAAAAGCACAGCGAATAGGCGCTCATGCTGCCGTACCTTTACGAGTTGGCGGTATTTAATTTACGGTTATTATATTGAATGACATAATGCTTAATTTATGTAATAAGATGTTCTGAAAATTATTTTTCTTTCCATACTAAGCCTTCGTCGTCTGTCGTATCATTTAATTTATTTTGAGCCATAAAAACGAATGGCAGAATTTGTTTCAGAGAAAACATATTAAAAAGACTTTCCTCACAAATAATAAAAAAAGCAAAAAATAAAGAGGTTTACATACAACAAACTTCTTTTGAACACGCCTTTATTAACTAACTTTATTATTTTCACTTGTACTCGTATGTATCTAGCTTTGCATGTAAACAAGTCTAGGAATTTGATTTTATATATATACACTCGTATATATATATATATATATATATATATATATATATATAGACGTGTAAAGCTAAAATATATTCTATTTTCAATATATTATACTCCAATATACAATATATTATAGTGACTTACTCTCGCTTCGCTCGGGTGCGTCATGCACGTAGCGTTGCTACAGTTTAATAGGAAGATATTTTTAAGAGGAACAATCCTGTAATACATTGTTTTCATATAACTTTATTAGTTTACGCGGCGCACGCCAATAAAGCTCTCATTTGGCATGTTTTTTTCCGACATCTTCAGCAATCATCCTCATATTTCAATCAATTTACATAAAACCTTAATGAATTATACACTTACCTTCCTCATAAACCACTCCATCTATCGGTGAAAACCGTATGAAAATCCGTCCGGTAGTTTTTGAGTTTATCGCATTCCGACAGACAGACAGACGCGGCGAGGGACTTTATTTTATAATATGTACGTATAGACGTGCTATGCTAACAAAAAAAATCTTAGAATTAAAAAAACTATAAAATTCAAAGATAAAAAATATTGCTAAGAATATTTGCGATTCGTTGAATCAAATATTCACAATTGATAGGTGCATGTATCGAAGTAGTTAATTCCTTGCAGATAATCAATAAGGTAGCCAAGCGAAGAAATGTATCACACAAACACATTGGTATATACGAGTATGCTTGTACCTAATAATAGATTACTAGCCGGTCATAAAATAGATAAATTAAAACCTTTTAGCTTTACTTTAGATAATAGATCAAGATAAAATATATGAACAAAATTATTGCTTATGATTTTCAACCGACTTCAAAAAGGAGGAGGTTCTCAATTCGACTGTATTTTTTTTTATGTTTGTTACCTCAGAACTCCGTCATTTATTAACCGATTTGGACAATTTTTGTGTTGTTTGAAAGTGTATCCTTCCAGATTGGTCCCATTTAAATTTCAAAAAAAATACCACCGCTAAGGGTGGAAAAATAGCTAATGATGAATTTAACCTACTTCTAATTGTCATATTGACTTGAAACTTTGCAAGTGTTTCTATTTCCGTTGATAGTACAGTGGTTCGGTATTGTTGACCTGATGTGATGGTAAGGCCAGAAGGTGGATAGGTGGAACTCTTCAACGGCTAATAGTAGATACTTTGAGTTTGGGCTTGTTTTGTTTGATTTGACAAGCCTAACACGTTAGAATTCTTACTTTGCTACTACTGTCTACATTAAAAAGGGAAAAATAAAACTTTTTAGTAAAAAAATAAAAACCGACTTCAAACAAAAGCACTAAAAAGTAAAAAATAACTTGATTGGTAGTTTTCATTTACTATACATACCTAATCAAATATATTCGAAATCGGTGTGCTTTGCTTTATATGGCCTGGTATCGATTTCGAAAATATTTGATTAGGTATGTATTTAATAGGTAGGCTTTAATTACTTGGATACATGCACCTATCAATTGTGAATATTTGATTCAACGAATCGCAAATATTCTTAGCAATATTTTTTATCTTTGAATTTTATAGTTTTTTTAATTCTAAGATTTTTTTTGTTAGCATAGCACGTCTATACATACATATTATAAAATAAAGTCCCTCGCCGCGTCTGTCTGTCTGTCGGAATGCGATAAACTCAAAAACTACCGGACGGATTTTCATACGGTTTTCACCGATAGATGGAGTGGTTTATGAGGAAGGTAAGTGTATAATTCATTAAGGTTTTATGTAAATTGATTGAAATATGAGGATGATTGCTGAAGATGTCGGAAAAAAACATGCCAAATGAGAGCTTTATTGGCGTGCGCCGCGTAAACTAATAAAGTTATATGAAAACAATGTATTACAGGATTGTTCCTCTTAAAAATATCTTCCTATTAAACTGTAGCAACGCTACGTGCATGACGCACCCGAGCGAAGCGAGAGTAAGTCACTATAATATATTGTATATTGGAGTATAATATATTGAAAATAGAATATATTTTAGCTTTACACGTCTATATATATATATATATATATATATATATATATATATATATATATATAATATTTGATTAGGTATGTATAGTAAATGAAAACTACCAATCAGTTATTTTTTACTTTTTAGTGCTTTTGTTTGAAGTCGGGTTTTATTTTTTTTGTGGAAGTTTTTAAGGAAAAATTTCCATTGTATATCACATGATTTTTTGATGTAAAACACATATTATAAACTAGCATTGCCCGCGGCTCCGCCCGCGTTCAGGTGACCAAAAACCAAAATCTTAGGATTCACATATTAGTATATTCTTACAATGCAATTTTTGTATTTTTTCTCAGAAATGTAATATTTTTCCGCGGTAAAAAGTATCTTATATGTTGACCCGGATAACCACCTATCATTATACCTTATTTCATCAAAATCTCTTCAGTGGTTTTTCTGTGATGCGGTAACAGACAGACAGACAGACTGACAGACACACAAAAATTCTAAAAACTATAGATTCGGCCTCTGTGTCGATAATAATGTTTATTTCAATAAGATTTCCAAAAAATATATTTAATATAGAGATTCGGTTTAGTTACAATTTTATTATATATATATATATATATATATATATATATATATATATATATATATATATATATAGATGAGGCTACTATTATATATGTGCAAATTTTAAGTATGTGTCCTCACGCTAAAACGGCTAGACAGATTTGGATAAAAAGTAAACAGATTATGAACTATTAGGCACTTACACACTACCCGAGCAAACCATAGCGAAGTCGCTAGTATGTTTATATTTGTATATATGAATATGTAACTGAAATAAAAGAAAGGTTTATCACGTGATATATGTGAGCAATTATCTCTTTAATTGGTCGTACGGTGTTCGCCATCGCGCACCACTTCAAATCAACTCATGACTGGTCGATCATCGAGTAAATGAAAATTCCCAGAACATTCTACCATATTCCACGTCGATATATAAGTAAAATTGTTCACTCGCACAATGATTGAAAGGAAAGCTAATTGCCACGTGTACAAAAATACGTTATTGTAAAGGTTAGTGAATAATGATTGATTGACATAATACTTTCTTAGATTTACGCGAATACTTGACATTTTAAATAAAACTATCTACATTTTAAATAAAACATATAAACGTCGGGAACCAAAAATCAAAATAAATTCGCGAAAAAATCCGAAAAGATGGTTTTATTTAAAATGATTGATTGAGTTTTAATTGATATGTTACCAGTATAAATGTATACCCAATTATTTTACTTTTTTTTACCTAGTGGAATGTGCAGTTAGTTTTTACCTAGCGCATTTAAAATAAGAAAACCTCGTAAAAATATTACATTGATTAAAATGTAAGTACCCGGAATGAGTAATAGATACCTAATATCTTTAAAAGTGTAAACCTATTAAAATATTTTAAATGTAAAATAATATACAAAACCACAATCACTAAGGTTAAATAATAAATATTAAAAGAGTCGATCTCGCGCTAGAGGACTTACAAATGCTATTCAAAATAATGTCTTATATTAATTATATATACCTACCTATTACATGTACATACATAAATATAAGATAGGAAGCTCTCGGTCCGAGCCTCACTTGACTTATTACTTTTTTATTATTTAGAACAATCGCCGTTAAGACTTACCGAACTAGTGCCTATTATGATTCAAAAGTTCAAAAAGTCAAAAAAAGAGTCGAACAAAATGTTTTATTTGTAGGAAAATAAATCTAATATTTTAGGATTACATTCCCCACGTCGATGATTGTGATAATCGGTTTAAAATATTTTTGTTAAAACTTTCCTAATCGATAACTGGATTGATCATTTATGAATCGGTCTTTAGATGCCAGGATTTTTTTTGCTATTTTTAACACTAATACTTTTACGTTATTATATAACAGAGATAATATTATTTTAAGTGTTTTAAATAATTGCCAACGATGTAATAACAAGCACCTATGAACAATATAATTAATATTTCCGTTATTTCAATTTTATAACATTTTAATTATACTATATTACTATATACTATACCTACTGTACTATATATTATAAAGTATTTTTTTAGCATCATATAGGGCAATTCGTAATTAAAAACATAAGAAATTATTTCTAAAGATGCCAATTTTTGCTATAATTAATAATATCCTATGAACTATGAGCATGCACATTTTGTCACTGCAGTTGTTTTCGTAGGCTACATCAATTACTGATACAATTCAAATGAATGATTTATTGAATAAAAAATAATCACTTTCCCTGTGGAATTTTAACAGTTCTAAGACATTAATAACTATTGTTATATATATACATATATATATATATATATATATATATATATATATATATATATATATATATATATATATATAAATAAATATATAAATTGCCTACATTACCATAAATACATATATTGCAATGTCCTTAAAGTAAAGGGACACGAATTTCGAATCGATTAGCTCTGTGAAAGTTGTTCGTATTCTTTTATCGTCTAATTCGCTGAATGGATTTTCTTGATTTATAGCTAAGGACACTTTCTATCAAGTCACCTTTCAAACAAAAAAACTGAATTAAAATCGGTTCATCCGTTTGGGCACTACGATGCCAAAGACAGATACCCAGATACACAAGTTAAACTTATAACTCCCTCCTATTTGCGTTGGGGATTAATAAGACTGGAGATAATGAAAAACGTAAAATTAAAAATCTGATGACGGATGGCATGAAATAAAATACATGTATATAAGTTTTTAATTTCGCAGTTTCAGGATGAACGAACTTCTTAGAATAAATAAGATTTATTGAATTATTGTATTTTCTCTGTCTATTCGACAGCTTAGACATTGATGCAAATAATACCTAAGAGAGATTTAGAAACAAGAAAAATAATATTATATATTATACTTTTATATTATTATACTTATACTATTTCAATCTTTTGTAATGTACATTTGTCTCTTTAAATATATTTTTTATACTTAATATTTGGTTCTTAATTTTAAAACTACCGTTTTATAATATATAAAAAAAGAATTAGGTATATAGTTATATAGAATATATATTTAATTAATTGATATATGTATTGCTTATTATTGTCGATATACCTACTTTAAATATTTTAATGAAAGTTTGTTGATACCTTGAATTGAAAATTGAAAAGCTCTTTAAAGGCAATTTCACGGCCTCATTGTCAAACGCCGAAAAAGTCCAGCAAGTACGGACATAAAGCTAAAGAGTTTTTTATATATTTTATGCTCTTTTTTTGAATCTCTGGAATTATCGATCAGATTTTAAAAAGTATTCTAAAACTGTAAAAAATATGATTAAGATCTATTCGATAATATTTGCCTAAATTTTACTTTATTTGTCCATCAACAATCAATCGTAATATATAAAATTCCCATGTACTAATGTTGGTCCGCGATGAACTCCGAATCTACTAATCCAATTCTAACGTATTTTTTTTTTCAAAATATGTGATTTCTTGTACAATTTAGTATTAATTAAACAAGTGATAGACTGTGGACGGTAACATGGCTTCAGTTAAAACCCTTATTACGACCTGAATATGAGGGCAAATGGATCTCAAAAAGCCTTTAAAAGTTTTATGTTCCTCGCAGTTCTACAGATTAGTAATAGACGTTCACGGTTTTACTGTTCTTTAAAAACACGTACTACTCGTATACAATATACAGACATATAAAATCGTATGTATTTAATAAATATCTTTATGTACATATTTTTGTGTTTATTTATCGAGTCATTATTTAAGAGATAGATTTAAATGCTTATTTTTTAACTTAGCGAATAATAAATGTGAAGCCATTATAATAATTTCCAAGGCTAGCTGCGATATAAATGTCAGCTATTCTGTGCCATTCACATTTGATCTTTAGATACCTTTGAGGACATGTTTGTAAAAAGTGCCATAAAGTAAAAAAAAACCCCTACGAATCGACATAAAGTATCTAACTTTGCATATGAAAAAGTGCATTCATTTTATTCTTAGCGGCCATTTTCAATCAAATTTGAAAAGGAGGTAGATGTAATAATTACCTGTTGATGGTTGTCATCATCATGACGTCCAGCTTCCCTAGCAGAGAGCCAGAGTCGAAGTCGTATACGGCCTTGAACAGACGAGCGATGGGAGCGAGCCTCTAGTTTGTACCATGCTTCAACTCCAGTTGATGGTATCTCTCGTAGTGGGATGTTTACACAGCCTAAAATATTAAAATAAAATAATAATAGAACTTTAACTATTCTAGATTACATTATTTAACAAAAACTGCCTCGGTGATGTAGTGGCTAACATGTACGGCAGCACACCCGGAGGTCCTTTGTTCGAGTCCCGGGTCGGGCTAAGCTTAGTTATTGAGTCTTTCTGTAAGTCTCAGTAACAGCCCGGAGCTGGGAAATTGGTGGTGTTTCACCCCCGTGCGTCGGAGAGCAAAAGCCGTCGGTCCTGCGCCTTAACTCTCATCGGTCGTGTCCAGTGGTCGTCGCACCGGAGTATGAGAGTGACAGGAATAGAGAGTGCACTTGTGTCTGCGCGTACACTTGTGCACTATAATATCTCCTGCGCAGTAGTCTCAATGAGATTGGCCGCCGTGGCCGGAATCGGTCGGGAGGACATTATTATTATTTAACAAAAAACTTATAGAGCTACTTATTTCAATAATTTTGTTTGGTTTTATGAAAACAATAAAAAACTTATTTCTAGATACTTAGTATGGATTGTAAAACTTCATATAATAAGCTTGTTAGTATATTATAGGTTTTCTTTGTATAATATAATATTATCCATGTTCTTATTGAAAAGTACGACCATTTAAGTATACAATTAATAATAACTGACTCTATTAATTGACCCTAAATTCTGTTGGGTCACCGCAAAATCCTTTTACCGGTACTCGGAGTCTAATTATTTCCTTTTTGCATTGAGTTCTCAAATGCTTAATAGCACATTTGGCTGACTAAATAAATAATGAATATGGTCGCAACCATCAATCTTGTTATATCCATATACATATAATTTTCATCGCTCTCGCATTCTGAATTCGGATAGGAACCGTAGATTTTCAAAATATTGCTTTCAGGACTCTTTGTGGTAATAGAAAGGTAGATAGAACACCAGTATAGTATTATATAATCTGTGATAGAACACAATATTTGGTAAAATTAATTTCGTAAGCTCAATTTTAGAAAAGCGTGAGACAAATAATTTACAAATCAATTAATAACTAATTTTAAACTTCTTTTTACGTTTATATCACCATAATAATTTAATAAAAATGATAATGTAAAGTAAAATGATTACTTAGCTCAAATTAACAACTGATAGGCAAGTTTATACAGCAGTACAAGCACTATAGGAACAATACAGAGAGCTTCATGTTAAAATGCCCTGCATTGTATAGGTATGGTTCAAATGCAAAGTTTGGAACAAAACTAACTTAGATCCCAACTTCATAACTGGTAGGTATGTGTATTTTACTCCGATAATATTACTAATAAGTTAGAAAAATAATATTATGTATACATTTTTTATAATATCAATAAATAGTATAATAAAATTCAAACTGAGTCGAATCTGTACATAAATATTTTTTTAAAAATCTTATTGAAATAGTCATTATTATCGATACTGAGGCCGAATCTATAGTTTTAGAATTTCGTTTGTCTGTCTGTCTATCTGTTTGTCTGGGAACACAACCAGAAAACCACTAGACAAATTTTGATGAAATTTGCTTTGACGATAGCTGGTTATCCCGGTCAACATGTAAGATACTTTTTACTACGGGAAAATATCTCATGTCTCAAAATGCACACTTTTGTAAAGTTTGATTATAAAATTACACTATCAAATCACTACAGTAATTAGTTGCTTTAAGGATCTGGTTAGGTTTCTAGTATATATACTAACTATATTGTTTCAATAATAATTAAGTATATGTTTGTCTATGATTTTATTTTGTCAGAAACAAGTGGTTTTCATGGAGGGATGTTATAATGTGGGTAGATTTTATGTATCTATAAAACATCCGTTAGGAAGCGTTATTAAATACCTACACCACACGTAATTTTTATATTACGTACAATTTATGCAATATTCAGTTTTCTTTATTATGTTTTTACAAGACAATAATACAAATAATTAAGTTTGGAGTTGAGATAACTTTACAAGGAGTTTGTTTGTTTCTCTTTATTGCCAAAACTACCTCAATTATGTAATAATATATTTTATTTCAATTTATAATTTCTATTATCAGAACTATTATTTGGCCTTATAAAGATACCTACATATATATACTCGTAATTAAAATTGATGTATAAGAAACACAGCAACTCATCATACGGTACAAAATACATGTAAATTGTTTCATCTGAATAAAGTAAGTAATATTGGTGAAATTTTGCAATAATTTAAATCTCACATTACATTTATTGCTTTGATCTATAATCTGTATATCTGTATACATAAATATAATAAATGTGAAAGTTTGTGAGTATGGATGTTTGTTACTCTTTCACGCCAGAACGGCTGAACGGATGTGGATGAAATTTGGCACAGAGATAGATTATAGTCTGGAATAACACATAGGCTAATATTTTCATCCCGAAAAAATGTAAGGTACCCGTGGGATAGGTTTGCTTTTGATTTCCTAGACGCGAACCCGAGCGAAGCGACGGTGAGCCGCTAGTATTGTATAATTTTGTGTGCCATAATTAAAAATCCAATTGAAAGAAATAAAATTAAATCATTGAGATTGACGTAGGTAGACTTAATAAAAAGTTTTTATTAAGATATTTATGTCGATGTTTATAAAAGATAGATAGGTACGACTTTGAAGATAAGCATACTATTCACCTTTAACGATAAATGGCAAACTAAATATATTAAGAAATAAGAACACAGTATTTGCCAATTATTATATACGGAAGTTGAATTATACTAGTAGTAAATTATGTGGCAAGCTAAAAGTAAAAAAAAAAAAAAAACAAAACAAAAAAGGGAATAATCAAATACAAAATTATGCGTATAATTTAATTTTAGCATAAGCTAATTCGTGCTCAAATAAGACAACACTGTGAATATTTTAAATAGTCATAGAGTTGGCAGTGTAAGATGAAGTATATATATAATTTATTAAAAACTAGCGACTCACCCTCGTTTCGCTTAGGTTCGTCCCTGACTTGCTTCCTAATACAAACTTTCATCCCCATTGTCACCCCTTTAAGGGATGATTACCGGAATAAAAAGTATCCTATGTTCTTCCCAGGGTCTCAAACTATCTTCTTACCAAATTTCATCTAAATGGGTTCTATAGATCCAGAGATTTCCCCCTACAACGTCACAAGCTCACAAACTCTACCTCTTTATAATATTAGTATAGATGAGTAGTATCGCTTCCTAGTTTTCTATAAGTTAGATATCTTTTATCCGTTACATAGAGGTCTCTTAAGCGTGACATTATTTTCTCGAACCCAGAACAGACTAAAATGCGATCCGACCTGGATAAAATGCAATTCCATGCATGTACCTACATATATTGATGCACACTATGTGGCTTCGTTCTGTATATGAATATATTAATATTGGGATCGTTAGGGAGTTCTTATAACATTGTTGATTATAACAGGCTTTTTGCAAAAGAATTATAAAATGTTCCTTTATAGTTAATATTATAAATGTGAAAGTTTGTGAGGATGGATGGATGGATGTTTGTTAATTTTTCACGCCAGAAGGTCTAAACGAATTTGGATATAATTTGGTACAGATATAGATTATAGTCTTAAATAGTATATAGGTCACTTTTTATCTCGGAAAAATGTACGTTTCCCGTGGGACAGATTTATTTTTGTCTAGGGACGAACCTGAAGCGAAACGAGGGTGAGTCGCTAGTTTATAATAATTTTACTTAATTACTTACCAAGAAAATCATCTTGACTGCCTTGTCTCGCGCTCTGGCAGACCTGTTTGAAGAAACGTCCTAAGCCGCGAACTCCGCGTACTTCATTAAGCCGGGACACTGCATCCAACACTGAACTTTCGTCGTCATGATCCCAAATATCCAGATGAAGAACATCGGATGATATATCATCGATGTCACTACCAAAAAACAAAACAAGTTTAGCTACATCAGCTGCATATTATTTTATAAAATATTAAAATATAAAATATATTATCTTATGACATAAATTAGGTGATCTTTAATACTGCATTAATTTGTAATGGAATACATGGAATATAAAATAATATAATATATAGGAATATATAATTAATATATATGTTAGTTTTAAGGTATATATGCTATGGGCCTCTGTTTACATATTTAAGATCCTTATGTAAATATTGCCTGAAATTAATGATGAAATAAAAAATTAAATAACTACACTAAGTTTCATGTAACACATGGGATATTTCAATAATCTCTTTTGCATTTTCCATAACGGTCACTTGCGTGACTTGTGGTCGGGAATAGAAGTGTAACAGTGCGTGAGCATGTTTATTATTCATTTGTGTTGTAAATATTAAGTAATCAGTTGTCCGGTAAAGCTTTCAATTCTATTCCATTTGATAAATTATTTAGAATTACGTGGAATTTTAATATGAATGGTAATAAATGAAATTCCAGTGGTGTTTACTTAAAATGTTTGATTTGTACATTAATTGTTTGCTATTTTTTGAACTCTAACTTTGTTTTAAAACAATAAAATTCATACACTATGGACCTACTACATTGTTCATATGTTTTAATATACACACATATTATGTATAAATAGTGTATACATATATATGTGTGTATGCATTTATATATATTAGATTATAGATATCTTAGGCAGTGGTAGCCCAGTGGTAACGCGCTCGCTTGGAAAACCGAGTGATGCGGGTTCAAATCCCGGGTCTCGCACCTCTGATATTTTCATGTGCACTTGCCTTACGGTGAAGGAAAACATCGTGAGGAAACCTGCATGTCTGAGAGAACCCAGCAAGTTTTCGAAAGACATGTGAAGTCCGCCAACCCGCACTTGGCCAGCGTGGTGGACTATGGCCTAATCCCCCTCGTACTGAAGTGAGGCCCGTGCCCAGCAGTGGGACGTTAAAAAGGGCTGAATACAATAGATATCTTTGGTATGTACTTGTATTGTGTAGTTATTCTTGTTTGTGTGTAAACTAATGAATCAAAAATTGAATCGATACGACTCGTGTGCGGCTTAGGATAATAATAATATTGTATTTTATAAGTTACAATAATACGACAACACTATTATTTGAAAGCATATATGTAGGTATACTCGTATAAGTTACATGTTTATTACTAATCGATACACGGCCAAATAGATATTAAATTAATAATATGTACCTATACGTATTATCATATTAGATTTCTCAATAATCAAATCATAAACAAAAGCTATTTATTAAATCGATAATATAACAAACTGTTTTTTAAATATGTATTAGTAATTTTAATAAACCTTTAAAATATGAAGATAGATTTTAATTTTTATGGAAAATTAAACAATATAAGTATATCATTATATTAATTTCGCCAAATATATAGCGATGGTTAATGTATCGCCTTATGCACTTTAATTTTATTTAAATCTGTTTCAAATAGACATCGATTAAATAGCCAAATATTTGCTTCGTGCTTTAAGCACATTCATGATTAGTTTATTATGCTAGTAGCCTAGCATCAGCGCACCTAAATAACTTTTTGCAAAAGCATTACGTTCGCTTAATGTACCGGAAAAGTGACAGATAGTGACCTATCTATGTCACACTGTTTTAGTAAGTACCTATGTCACTCACTGGCCCACTATTTATGTACGTTGTACACATACCTACATAACTTCACGCTCGTACCTCGCACGGTAGAACAGACTACCCAAGAAAGAAGTTCGTTATTTTTGAATGAAGAATTCGATTTAGAGGTAGTGACCTCTAAATCGAATTCTTACAAAAATAATTACCTTTTTAGCGGACTTGTTGTCTTTTCCTAACCTCCTCCTTAACCACTCTTTCAGACCTTGGTCAACTAATTTTTCTATTATAATCTCTATATTACTCACCATTACCTTTAAATTCATTTTTAATTGTAAGTGCAAAGAAGAGTCTATAATAGAATTTAATTGCACATCTAATAAAAAGATCGATAATTTTCCTATCCTTCAGTAAAATTAAATACCTACATAATGGCGCTTTTGCTAGTAATAGAAGTCATGCTTACACAATATAATTATACCTATGTTTTATGTTATTGTATTCTATATTAAAGAACTGTTGTGCAGTAGACTGTGAAACTACATAACAAACAAACTTTATGAACTTTGTCAATAAGATCAGTTAAATATTAACTATATTTTAAAGAATGCGTCTAAAATTTGCTGCCTAGACGTGGGAAGACTTTTCTTAGATAATTTCTTATCTAATTTAACTTTAAGCAATACATATAATTATTTGTTGCTATGAACAGGACTGGAACCCTTGACTACTGGCTCAGGGACAAGTACTCGAATAACTAAAACTAAATAAACTATATAGCAGGTACATTTAAACATGTTTGGAGACTAAAGATAAATTAATTGGATTTGTATAATGTATATGTATGTTTGACATGAGATGATCATTATATTCTCTTTTATAATACACTAGCAATACCCGCGGCTCCGCCCGCGTTGAGATGACCAAAAACCAAATTCTTAGGTTTTACATATTAGTATACTCTTACATTGCAGTTTTTGTATTTTTTATCAGAAATGAGACATTTTCCCGCGGTAAAGTAAATAAAGTATCCTTTATGTTGACCCGGATAACCAGCTACCGTCATACCAAATTTCATCTAAATCCCTCCAGTGGTTTTTCCGTGATGCGCTAACAGACAGACAGATAGACAAAAATTCTAAAAACTATAGATTCGGTCTCTGTATCGATAATAATGTCTATTTCAATAAGATTTTCCAAAAAATATTTAATGTACAGATTCGGTTTAGTTACAATGTGATTATATGTATAGATAGATATTATATTCTATACCTCAACGCGGAAAGTTAAAAATTAAAAATAGGACACTGGAAATAAATGCTAAGGTGATTTAAGAACATAAATAGGACAAATGAGAGATTGTTGCCTACATTTGTGAACATGTTTTTAACTTACTAAGAAGTGAATAAAAGAAACATACTGGTATAACTTGTCTACAATATTAAAAAGGCTTGCTCTTAATTGTTGTACCTACTAGCCAATCACGTCGCTAGGTGCATTTTATATTTATAATATTACTAGTGGCTTACCCTCGCTTCTGTCGGGTGCGCCCCTAGAAGACACGATTTTTATCCATAAAACAAAAATATCATCAAATTTGTAGATTAAATAATCTTGCAAATATTTTATTAATTTTAAGCTTCTCCAGGTTACACGCATACACAATGTGCAAACTTTTGCATTTATAATAGAAATAGGATTAGCCATAAGGCTAAGTAATAAGGCCATAATAATATAGCAGTCAGCACAAGTCTGTAATTTTTTTATCCAGGAACTCATTGCAATCGTGTACATTTAACTTAAAATGCGTATATCTATTTTTTATTTTAATTATAATTATATTAAACTAAGGTATTATATCAAAATAATTTTCAGTTCAATAACAACTTTAAAACTAAAAAAGGTATAAGGAAATTAATAATTCCAACCCTATCTTATCAAATATTATCTCAAAAATTATATGACCACCATACAATATACTCTGTTTATTAAAAGTATGACCATGAAAATCAGTTGAGATTTTTGTTACTTACAATTTGAACGTCTCGTTCCATTTAGGCGAGAGTGTATGTGGGCGGACGCTCGTTGCCCGAATATATCGAGCCGGTAGTCTGCCAAGGCTGTCCCGCTGCTGCCGTCCGTCACGTCTCTTAAAGCTCAGTCTAAAGCCGTGCTTGCGGCCCTCGTCTTCTGACGCCCGCGGTGAAGCTGGTAGTGACGCTGGCTGTATGCCCAACATGCAATAGGGATCGCTAAAACCTATTAAAAGAAAACAATAGACGGCTGAGATTATATTGTTTACTAGAAACTTACTTTAACTTAACTACACTCGGGTGCATCCCAAGGTGCCTTTTGAATTTCATATCATATTATGAGCAGTTAGCTCTATATTATTCCATGCCATAGACAATCTGTGTATTTCATTTCATCCAAATCCATCCAGCCGTTTCAGCACGAACATACAACAAACATACACGCACGCATACACAAATGCATACATAAACATACAACATAATACAGTATGCAAACTTTCCCATTTATATAATAGTATTGTATTTTCATTCTAAAAGAAATTTATGCATTTCCATCAACTTTGTTATTTAGGATTTTAATTATAACATTATTTTTAAAATAATTTCATTATACTCGTATAAGCAAACTTGGTTTCTATTTTAACATAACGTAGTAAATAAAATTAAAACTTTAATTGAATAGCGTTTAGTGTACTCTCGCAAAACAAGTATGCTACTGTTAAAACAACTTTCAGCTTACCAGAATTCCGACTCTAACTTTACTTTGACGCTAACACTCTAACACATAAACTGTTAGTATATCCAAAATTATCGTTTGCTTCTATAAATAACATGTATGCAAAGCGGAGTCGAGGTTTTTGAATATTTTAATATGAAGTAAATAAACTAAATATGTAAAAGAAATATCTACATCCCGTATTCTGTAAATACGAGTTATGAGCATTGAAGAACCATATGCATGCAGCATTCACCACTCGAAAAATAAATATCCCCAGGCTCTATTATATCGTAGAGCATACATGCACATATCGACTTTAGCGCCAGAGAAACTAACGAATTCCCATGAAGTTTGTACATTACATGAATTTTTGGAACTGGATATTATGATATTTAAAAACCTGTTACCTGATGAAACCTTATAAAAACTTGTGTTTTATAAAATCAATTTTTACGGACTATTAAAAATATGGATATTATTCAATTTTTATAATATTATTAAATTCTGGTGTGCGCGTGTGCGTAATTCTTCTTTCCTAAACGACTTGACACAAATTTGAATTTTCTACAACAACAATTGAATTTTCTATATTTATTTAGGTTGGATGGTTCTTAGATAAAATTGGACCTGATAGGTGGCACTGTTGTCGAGATACAAACATTTTAATTTTCCGACATTTTTATTAGCTGTTTTTCAAACAGTTTTCTCTTAAAACCCATGATCGTGTGACATGACGTGGATAACGATGGTGCCAAAGATTTAGATATAAGGAAAACTCTGATTTCGAGATACACTACATCCAATGAAAAAACGGAAGCTTTATAGTTTCACTTACATGTAAATCTGTCAGTAGTTATATAACTAAATTTATGTTACATATAACTTAAAAAATTTGCACAGCATTTAACACACATTATTTTTATTTTATGTGGAGTAACATGACAAAAATATATTAGTGACAGCTGTTTTTTTTTAATTTCATCTGAATTTTTCGGGGCAAAGTAGAATTATAAAATGTTTTAATATGAAATTAGAGCTGTTTTTTTCTTGCATAAAAAATGCTTCCCATAAAATCTTTGCTAGCCCTTTTCGCTCTTTCCAAAAAATATCTCTTCATATCTACGTCATTAAAGAAATACGGTGAAATTTCAGAGCCTATACAATAGTTGAACCTTGGCGATGATAAATCAGATATACTACGTGTATACTACTTTGTGGCAATTTATTATGTGTTCACTTGTTTATTAAACCTGGCATCAAATTTTTTGTGTACATATCACTGTTTTACAATAATACCCCAAGTATTATGTGGAGCAACAATTACTACAACCTTACCTAAATACAAAATTTTATCCAAATCGTTAGACCGGTTCCCGAGAAATACACAAAATATTTTTTTATACACGAATTGCTCGTTTAATATTATAAAATAATAATGAAAACATGGTACATGCAAGTAAGACTTATTAAAATTGTTTTTCCTTGATAATTAAAACTGTCAACCGTGACACGATAGATATAACTTTAGTCCTTTGATCCACGTATGTTCTATGTAGATTACTAAAAAATAGCTGCGAGCAATAGGTATTTTTTATTAAATGTTCGATACGTTCTGGAACATAAAATGGTAGAGTGAAGCCTTCTACCACTAAAAGCTTTTTAGAAACGATTTAGAATCCTTTGTGCTTTAAATGGATTTGGGCATCAAAACACACGTTTGTATTTTTATTTATGGCCAAGCATACATTTAACAAGTAGGTGATGCCACGAGAATAGTTTAAATTCAAAACAATAAATCATTTTGACGGTTCCATTCTCAAAATGAAGCTTTGTTTTATTTTTAAATCGATAGCGTAAAAGGGTATTAATAGCCGTGACATTTTCTGAATATCGTGTACAATTTAATGTTGTTGTGTTGCATGAAAGTTACCTTGATAATTAATTTGTGCGCTCAATACTTTTTTTTATTTATTAACTAGCGGCTAACCCTCACTTCGCTCGAGTGCATCCCTAGGTACGTTTTAATTTTTTTGAACGGAACCCAAATTTTTTTTTAAATAAAGTAGCCCTGTCAAAATCAAACCAGCCATTTCGGAGATTAGCCGGCACAAACAGATAGACCAACAGACAAAAATGTTAAAATATGTGTTTTTCTTATAAGTACCATATATAATTTTATATGCATTTAGTGAAAAGCTGTTATTTTGACAGTTTAAATAATTGAATGTAAAATACAAAAAATTTACACTAATTTTATTAGAGGTAATAGACCTCTAAGAAAAAACTTTGAACTATCAAGTTTGGCGTTATTTAATCCAACAAATTTTATTTTTACTTTACTCAAAAGTAAATGTCGTTTTATTTTTAAATTACATTAATTATTTTAATTTGTATTTATCAGTAAATATCATCAAGTCGTTTTAGTTAGTTTTATTAACATCTTGGACTTGAAAAAATGAATTTTAAAAGTACTACATTACCCTAAATTACACTCAATAAGATTATTTATGTTATGTCTATTGAGGTATAAATATTGTGAACGCACATAATAATATATTATTCTCGACTTCCGTTTTGCGGAGCTATTGTTAAACTTTGTAAAATCACGAATATATTCATCTCGCTGAATAACTTATTATCACAATCGTATTTAACGTTTACTGTAAATACTCAACATTTACTGGAAAATATATTATATTGAGTATACATAGAATTTTATTATAAAGCTTAAATATTTTAGTAGATAATTACGCTATTTATCTGCAATACCCGTAAAATTATATATCAACAATTGATTTTCACGCATCAAATATATTTTGAGAATAAAATACTACACATATATTATATTTTAATGCGAAAAACCTATGTAAAAACATATTATAAAAATAATATGTATTAACAATTGAACGGTTTGTCATTTTTTTTATTTAGCTATCTGCTTTATACTTGAGAAACATCTTACCATTAGCATCTTTTGCCTCCAATCCATCAGCCTCTAGAACTGCACATCCCAAGACTACGGTGGGAGGGCGCTCACTGCCGGCTGCTATGAGTGCACGAGCGTGGACATCATGGGGCACTTTAAAAGCGCGACGTGCATATTCTATGACTTCTTCTTTATATGATGCAAATTGACCATCAGGCGCGGGAGCACCTACAGCATTCTCGATGCAATATAGAACCTAGGGAGAAGATTATTTTACTTCAATGTTGATTGAATATCCTTAAAAAATAATTTTATAACTATAATAATAATATCCTCCCGACCGATTTCGACCACGGCGCGGCGGTCAACGTCATTGAGACTAGCCATCTGCGCAGGAGATATAATAGTGCATAAGTGTACACTGTACGCGCAGACACAAGTGCACTCTATCTATTCCTGTCACTCTCATACTCCGGTGGGACGACTAATCAACACTAATCACCAGGGGTTGTTCTTTAAAAAAAATCTTGTAGGTACTGCAAAAACCTTACAAATTATTTTAATAAAATTATTTATATTTTATTTTAATATATTGTTGTCGTGTAATATTTTATTTTATTTACCTTCAAACCCTTCAACTTAACCTATGTATATAAAGTATTTTTGCCACTCGGGATATTTCAATCTGCGGTGATTATGTTTGCTTACTTTCCTAATATTGCCGATCCATATCTTAAGGTTTTTTTAAGAATAAGAGCAGATTTCTATGTAAATGAAACTTTAAATGTAACGTAAATTTATCGTTTAATATGTCATCTCAATATTTATTTTCACAAATAAGTTCTAAGTAGCTGCGTAAAAATTATAATAAATTTCAGATCATAATTAAAATTAGTTAATAGTTGCGAATGATGTACACAATTAATATAATATTACATTATGTTAAAGTATATAATTTATGAAATATAAAAAAAAATATTTAGTTTGTGGAAACTCTCAATTTAAAAGTACGTCTCCATCTCCAGCCTTGAAAGTTTATTTGAAACTGAGTGTTGTAAGACTTCTTTCAAAAAAAAAAGTAAAATCTCAAACATTACTCAAGTCACCAACGATAATTTTCTTAGGGTGAAGCAAACAAACCAACCGACACAAAGTATGTATTTGTAGGTATTCAGGATGGACTCAGTAATGAGAAAGGGCTGACGTGGAGGAATGTGTTCAAGTGGAAGAATAAGTTTGCGTGTTTCAAGTCTGTTACAAGCTCGAAGCTCCAATATAGTTTGTGCAATTTACTCGTTTTATTATTATATTTGTTTATAAAGTTTATTTTAATAATTGTTATAAAGATTTTAATTTAAAAATGAATGAAGAAGCTTTGTTAATGGTGTATTAAATAAATATTTTAATTAACAATCAATAAATGTATTTTTTCTGATTTATATTTGCTTGTTTTCAATAACAAACTTATTAAATTTTTGTTTAAAAGTATCATTACTATATCTTCATCATTCTCACATCTTGATCATTACTATATGCTGTACCCATTAAATAACCCTTCATAATATGTAATTTGTTATCAATTTTTAAATCCATTTTGATTTGATGTTCTCTATATATAAAATACCAAAACTACCTTTAAATAGTAATGTTCAGATATTCTTGTATAACAAGAAGGTATATAATGTGTCCAAAGTATTGGGAAGCTACGAACATAATAAGATTAATATTAAATTAATTATAATTATTTAGTTTCACGAACTGCCATCTATCATTTACATAAATATTAAAGTTATATACACTTACTATCATTGCCCGCGGCTCCGCCCGCGTTCAGATGACCAAAAACCACGTTCGTAGGTTTTACATATTAGTATACTCTTACATTGCAGTTTTCGTATTTTTTTCTCAGAAATGAGATATTTTCAAGCGGTAAAAAATATCCTATATGTTGACCCGGGTAACCAGCTATCATCATACCAAATTTCATCAAAATCGCTCCAGTAGTTTTTCTGTGATGCGGTAACAGACAGACGGACAAAAATTGAAAAAACTATAGATTCGGCCTTTCTATCGATAATAATGACTATTTCAATAAGATTTTCCAAAAAAATATTTAATGTACAGATTGGGCTTAGTTACAATTTTATTATATGTATATAGATTAGTAGTTCAAAATTCACTAATAAATGTGCGAAATACAGTTCAAAGCGGTGTAAACTGATACATATTTTGGTAATAAAATTGGAAAACAGATATTTAAATACAAAAAATTTTTGTACATATTATTCACTTAATATGTACCTATATTTAATATTTTAATGCTCGTTAAGACTAAGGATTAAAAATAGTTAACAACTAACTAACCTCGGTATACAGATGTTCATGCTCTTTATGTGAGAGTTGCGCGGAAACACTTGGCAGGCCGAGGTCTTGCGGTGCGGGGGGAGGTCTCTCTGCCCTCGCCTCTGCCAGCCGCAGCGCTGCCAACCGCCTGTTTTCCTGACGCCAGGAGAGAGCTGTGAAACTCTCGAAGTACGATCCATCGGTGTCTTGAACTCTAAACGACAATAATAATCGGACTACTATTATAAATTATATAGACACATGCAAACATTCGCGTTTGTTACTCCTTAACGCTGGACGGATTCGGATAAAATTTAGTACACAGATAGCCTATGACCTGGAGTAAGACACAACCAAGCGAAGCGGAAGTAAGTCGCTAGTAATTAATAACATGACGATGTAATTAGAGCAAAGATATATGTGAAGCTAACATAATAATTTATTATGGAAAATGAAAAATGTATGTAAATTTAATTTTATGTATAATTACAAAACTAGGGAAAGAAAATATCAGTCATATAAAAATATTGAAATTGCAATGTGAATATAATCTGTATTTCTCCCGAAGATTTCACACTTGCTCGAGTTATATTTCCACGAATATTACGCAACAAATAACAACGAGCAATCCCACGTTATTCAGAAAGCACTAGGGATTAGAGTTTGAATGGAAGCTGACCCGAGTACAAACATTTTGGGAATAGGTTAAATTAGAACAAAGCAAGTAAAACAACACTTGTGGTTGTTATAATATTATAAGTAGGTACTACAATGTACGAATGATAGTAATTTATTACTTAATAAATATTGCCTCAGCACGTTTAATATTATGTTTATATGTTAAATGCAAATAGACATAAGACATTATGTGAAATCAACGTTCTTTTACCTATCTATCTACATATCTAAATAAAAATAAAATGCTGTTGATAAAGCGGATGAAAATTGAGAAATAGAGGAAAATCTGAAATTACCTATTCTTGTATGAATTCTCAGATTAAAATTCGTCGGAAAACGTCTGCCGAGTCAGCTTTTATTTAGGTAAAATTAAGCGTTTCTTTTCATTTTGTGTAAAACTAGTGATATCATGCCAATACCTTATGTGTCAAATTGTTTTTGTTGTTAATTGTGTTGCTTCATTTTATTTCCAATTATTTGGAGTCTATTTTGTCTTTTACGTAGTTTAAATGTCAATGATCGTTGTTCCGTATCTGTGCACTAACATGTTATTTGTTTTACTTGTTTTCCGCTTCGATAAATTCAGAGTAAAAAAGGTATACTTATTTTAGAATGAAGGGGCATTAGTGTATAAAGTATCAATAATGGGATGGGAGAGGTGTATTTTTAAACAGATCAACAGTGACTTTTGTATAAAAGCTTGGAGTATCAAGCTTTTAGTCGGTTTTAAATCGCTTTTAAGGTTAGCATTATTTGTTGATCTTTATATTTTGACAAGATTGTACTATTTGAACTTAGGTTTAAACATAAACTCTTAAAATAGTGAAACTAATGAAAAACAAAATTGCAATTAAAGTTGACGTGATTATACCGTTACGTCAATAAGCTCTTTACGGCAGTGTTGCGACATTTTCTGTTTCACGATTATCCGAATGGTTGGAAAAAATATTGGAATAATATATTACTCAAATCGCCATTTTACAGTTTTTGGCAAATTTTAGTAAAAACAAAAGGAAATTCAAAAATAACCACCTGAAATTTTAATAGTATTAAAATTCTTAAAACTATATATATATTATAAAAAAATCAATATCGATTTCTCGTTAAAATCGGATATTTTCGCAACCGATTACTTTAGTAAAATTTTTAGACAAGTCAATCTGACAGCTGCTGAAGTGTATTTCTTAGATTTATACGAGTAGTTACATTTGGTATAATGTTACATACACGCATATGCGTACTGTTATAGCACTTTTCACAAATTGGTTTTTAAAAAAAAGGAAAATAACTTGAGATTACATAAAACAATTTTATTAAATAGATTGGACCCGATTTTATTAGGGCAAGTGTCACGCGCGGATGTTGGAATCGAACTGAACTATAATTAATATTTAATAATTATGAACCATCAAAGTGCTGACCAAGGAGAAGGAATAGGGCGCCATTATATACATAACACATATATAACAGCCCCCAGGGTTTTGACTAAACTTACCCTTAAAGGGGGTAAGTTTATGAAATAGTAGTGCGGATTTTGGGTGATGGAATGTCAGAGGAATTGGTAGCAACTTCTGTAAGCTCTTCGGCTTCTTTAATATGAAATTTAGAATTATTTTTTCTAAATAAACCGTGACATTTGCCCGATTTGATACATTTAAATGAAAGTATACATAATGAAATAATAATAATAATAATACTAAGCCCCCTAAAATCCAACCATACGTCCGAATCGACCATCTGATTCACGTAGGGGGCGGACACGTGACAATATATTACTGGCACGGCTAACATGGCTATGGTAACCCTTTAATGGAGAACATGGAAAATAAGAGATATAGTTTACGGCCGCTACCCGGGGGTCGCCGAGGCGCATCTGGAGCCGACGCTGGATGCTACAGCATGCGAACCGTTGGCGACGGGGGACTGAGCAGGCGGGTTCCCCTCGAACAAAATGCTACAGCCGACCAATCACCTTCATTATCTCCTTCCTCATCAAATCATTCTCTCTTCACAAATATACCGTCACCTTCTTCCACTCATACTCTATTTCACTCATCCAATTCATCACCATCATCTTTATATTCATCACAAACAAGGCCAACAGCTGTTGTACAGGAGGCAGCTGCCACTAACTCTGTATCCACTGCTGGCCCTTCACGTGCGCGAAAAAAATGGACAGAAAGTATGAACCGCTTCATATGGCGCACATATCTTAACATAACAAAATGTGAAACTATACTAATGAATAATTATTTGGAACCACTACACCAAGAATTCAACACTAAATTCCCCGAAATGCAAGTAACACGACAGCGTATAGGAGATCAGCGAAGAGCGATATTAAGAAGGAAGCTATTACCACAAAGTACATTAGACGAAATGAGAGATGAAGTAATGAACCTGTTAAAAACCGAAAATCGTTTTCAAACACAGAGTTCTAACCAATCAACCGATAAACTTCCACCGACAAACACTAGAATGCGATGGTCAAATGAACTCAATGAAGAAATTGTTAGGTGCTACTTTGAGGTAACCAAACTAGAGACCAATAAGACCGGTTATCGAAAAAATTTGTTCGAGTTATTTATAGCCAGACACCCACACTTATCACACCTCACAGAACAAAGAATTGCAGACCAAAGAAGATTAATATTTAATAACAAGAGTATAAACACTGATAGAATTAATGAAATAAGAAGAAAAATAGAACAAAAACTAGTCACTAACACTCAATCCATTTTAAATCAGAATACTGCAACAGGAGATGCTACTTATCATATCCAATTAGACAACTCAGCTGATTTAACATCTGTTCAATTAGACTCACTACAATTAACACATCCACTGACACAAAGCACTAAAGATAATTTGACAGAAAGGCACCCAAGTGAATTATTGAAGTATATTGAAACAGAATTTAATAATGCACAAACCCGATTTATTAACACAAACCCAGAAGCTAGGCCATATATTCCCAAACAGAAATCGTCTCGTAAATTTTCACAGATAGTCCAGCATTTGAATAATGAAATACTTCCGAAGCATTTAATAAATAATATAAGCTTTAACTCCATACATACTATAATATATACAGCCGCTTTCACAGCAGCCCTCTGCAATGGCACAAAATTTAATTTTAGTGAAAAAAATAGTACACGTAAAAATAAGCCATCATGGCAAAAAAGAATTGAAAGAAAAATAGGGAAATATAGATTAGAAATAGGTAGACTTACACAGTACATATCAGGGAATAGAAATCAAAGTATAGTCAAAACAGTCGAAGAAATAAAACTTAAATACAAAACCCACACACAACATGAAGAACCTAATACAGAACCACAACACTTCTTAGACACACTTAAACAAAAATTAAATGCAACTTCAAATAGACTTAGGAGATACTTAACTTGCACAAAACGAAAACAACAAAACTACACATTCACTACCAATGAAAAACAATTTTACAGGAATCTAATAAACAGACATCAAAACAACACAGCAGAATCAACTGAATCACCATCACTAGAAGATTTACAACAATTCTGGTCAAATATTTGGGAAACCCCAACGCAGCACAATAGGGATGCGGTGTGGATGCAAAGGGAAACAAACAAACATATAGTTCAAATGGATTTCGAAAATATCCCCATAGATATTATCACTCAAATTATCAAGCGTACTCATAACTGGAAGGCACCTGGCACAGATAACATACACAATTACTGGTACAAAAACCTAACTTGCACTCATTCGCTAATCCACAAGCACATAAATCAGTTCATACAGTCACCAAGTACATTGCCGACATTTATAACACGTGGAGTTACATATATGGTGCCAAAGGGATCGGACACCAAAAATCCATATCATACGTTACTTTTCAACCCGGATAAATGCACGTTTCCGTGGGTATAATATACATATATCGCCATAACAAAGTTAAAGAGCTTCCTTAGGTAGTGCATCATACAGGATAACGACATTACTAACTAGTTCTACTACCCTATAACAATGTCAAAGTTAGGTCAATATAAGATAACTTGCTTCTAAATGCCCTAGCTTCGTAACCTTTAAACTGCGAGCAGAACGTGGATCTAACTTAATAATGTCCTTAAACTGTCAACATATTGCGTTATTGGTTACCTGAATAAATAAATAAACTGTATCAAGGGCGGTGTAATTGAGTTTCTCATGAGTAGGATATGGGCTCGTAGCTACCTCCTTAATTGCTCCCGTTAGGGATATAAAGCAATTATAGAGTGTGCTGTCAGTGAATAAGGCATACATTCTGTATATCAAATCCTTATTCATATCAGAAACAGTAAAGGTTTCGCAAAGTTTTGTGTTTGTTCAAACAAACATTTTATCTTAAACAAGCGACTCACCCTCGCTTTTCTTGGGTTCGTCCCTAGGTACGTTTTAATTTTTTTGAGCGGAACCCTAATTCTTTTTCTATAATAAAAGTAGCCTATGTTACTTCCTATAACATCAGCTATCTTCCAGTGAAAGTTCTGTCAAAATCAGTCCAGCCGTTTTAGAGATTATATATATTATTCGGAACAAACGGACAAACAGACATTACAAACAGACACTATTTATCTGTGTAGATTGAAATGATTTTATTTCTACTACCTACATTTTTTTTATACTCATCTAAGTTACTACGTGGAATGTTAAATATCGTTCATATTTACAATTTAATGTATTAAAATACATACAATCTCTAAAAACACTTTATATCACATTACCTGATTTATGATTTATGTCAAAAAGCAATTTAACCAATTTTAATAGACCTGTAGAATATTGCTTCCAATACAAACTTTTCTATTACCTTTTACCGCCTTAATGGGTGAAAGGAAATACTGAAATGTGTTTTTAATTTCTGTCAAAGAGCAATAATGCCCCGTCCTAAATAGTCTAGAAATATATTATTTTCCATATAATATTTTAATTCCTCTTTTATTCATATTTTTTAAGTTTTTAAGTTTTAAAATTAATATATATATGTTCGTTTTTAAGGTGTATATGTGTTGGGCCTCTATTTACAAATTTAAGATCTTTTTGTAAATATTGTCTGAAATAAATGATTAAATTAAAATCAATTTAAATTAAAATGATCCCTAAGAGGTTATATTTTGGGAACTGTGGAAAAATATGTTTCTAATATTGCCACAAAGCATAAAAACATTTTTTTTTTGTTTTTTTTTAGACCAAAAGTTTTGTTTTCTTTGTAAATTTTTAGAGATTGAATTTTACGGACTATATATGTATATTATAGGTACATATTATATGAAAATTGCTACATTTAAATTATACATTTATTACCTGTATCATTAAAATAATAATAATATAATCGTAAATAGATACAGTCAAATGAAATTCCTACAAACAAGTTGATAACTATGAACTATAGCAGAAAATTGCCGATAAATATGCGATCCATTATTTTTGGAGAATAAATTGTCGATTGTCTTCAGCTGCATTTTTCATTTAACTAAATTAAAATAAACTTGATAGCGTGTCGGTATATTGATAAGTATTAAAACAATAAATTTTCTAAATATGTTTTAGGAGAATGATTAATAATGAATCCAAAATAATATTTCTGAAAATTTCGTAGATAAGGTCCACGTTGTCTATCTTTCCGTCAGTCTGTCTATCTGACTCTTCTAAAAAAATCTAGTAACGTTTTGCGTTAATCTTTTAATCCATAATTGGCGAGACTGATTGATACTTACTTATAAATCTATCATAAGACAGATTTTTTTAATAAAGAATAAAAAGGCGAAACTTAAAAAAATAAGGAATGATATATAACAAAATATGCTCTTTGTATTTAATCAATCATAAAAACTGTAACACGTACAAGCTGTAAATTCATGTATATAAATACCAAAAAAATTTAGGGTTCAATTTTTCCTCTGAATCCGACAAAAGAAACAGAAAGTCCTCTTTATTTACAAACTAATTTATTAGAAGGTTAATTAAAACCAGTTTTATTTGTACATAAATATAAATAAAGACCATAAATAAGGTTTAATTACTGGTAAAGTAACAAAGCGCGTTTGGGTTGCTTTTATTGATTAGGGCAATACTGTAAGTTAAGTCAACGCTTAAGCTTATTGAAAGGTAACATTTGGACAACCTTTTCAGTTGTTGATGTGTTCTATTTATATACATTTGTAGATCTTAATTATTACTACGAGTAGTCACGGCCACATCAGTCTCCGAATAACATCCGCTTAAATAAACAAACGAATAAACATTCTAGTTAATTGTAATTTGATTTCAATTATATGCCAAATATTTTACAAATACAAGTACAATATTATAGACCATTTATTATATTTCGTCTTCTTGTTAATTTATCATAAACATATATTATATTTTTTCAATCCCTTTAAAAATGTAGTAAACATTAAAACTTACCCAGAATTCACAGAATTATCCACTTCCGGCCAGGACAAGCGTCTTTTGCAAAATGCCATCGTAGGTTTTTCTTGTGGTTGCTGGTGTCTTGGTACACGCAAGGAGCCACCACGACGAGGTGTAGCTGAAGGAGCCAAACAATCAAGGGTGCGCCGACGAGCACTTAGCGCAGACGCACCCTCAGTAGGCAGCACCCGTGGAAATCCTATAATTGTAAGATATATATAGCGACTCGTATAAATATAAAAATAGTTCACCGACTTCGAAATGAATTAAAGTTATAAATAATTCCATGCTCAGGATGGTCCTTTTTCTAATTTTGTACATTATGTGACCTACATTGGGTGCAACCTATTTATTAAATAAAATAATTTGAAAATCCATAGATAAAATAAAAAATACAATAACCCTTATTGAAATCGATAAAATATAAATAAAAATATGTATTCGTTAATAGTATTTAATTATGTACCCTTAATAATCATATATTATAGGTTTATTTACCGTGTATTAAGTATCATTTCTGAATTAATGTTTACGAAAACATTCAACTTTTATATACATATCTACTCATATTGGAAAATATTACAAACTTTAATATCAAAATAGATACTAATAAAATTGATAATGTATGTATAATAAGAACTTCCCCAAACATCGCATTTACAATAGCGCTCTACTGTAAAGTACCGATCATTGGTTCCTTACTTCTTTACCTCTTGTTTTTTTGTTTATTTTAGAGCAAGCTGATCGTAAAACCTACAACTATTATATACTAACCATAATTTACCTTTGTTTATCTAGTTATTTATATTTTTACATTACTCTCATGTCCATGAAATTTAACGATAACATATTTACGTTCAGAATAAAATTATGTATGTATGCTATTAAATAAATATTTAAATCTTTAAGTTAAAAGCATAATAAAGTTGACTAATTAATTCATGTTTGACAAAAACTTCTCCCCGACATCTTTTTTGTACATCGAAGTACACTGGACACGATTAGGTTTCGGGCATCTTGATGGCCTTGTGTAATTTAAATATCACTTTTTTGAATGGCCATTCTCCGTACATATACCAGTTTATGAAAAAAAATCGCCCTTAGCTTTCTTGATTGTTTTCTATAAATACCAACGAGCAGATTGTTTTAGTATCAGTTGGTCTTGAACAACACAACACTCAACATTAAATCAACATGTTTAAATTCGTAGCTTTGTGTTGCTTCCTCGCCGCGGCTTCGGCGACGCCAGGCCTCATTGCGCCTGTGACATATTCGTCGAACGTGCTAGCACCAGCGCCAGCTGTTTATTCGAGCTACCCTAGCAATGGGCTGTGGTCTAGTCCACTAATCTCTTCAGCACCGTTAGTTTACTCCGGTTTTCCTCATTACATCAAGAAACGATCTGTGGGTTTTGGCAGCTACTTTGCACCTTCCTCATACATCGCATCTGGCCCCTACGCATACAACGCGTACACCGCTACCGCCCCTCTGGTGAGCACATACTCAGCGGCTGCTCCTTTGGCCACTTATTCATCTCCTGTCTACACAACAGCCGCTCATCTGATCAAGAAGAGGAGTGCTCCATTTTACCTGCCTTCTAGCTACGTGGCCTCTGCTCCTTACACTGCCGCCGCGCCTTTTGTTGCCTCATCTTATGCGGCTGCATCTCCTATTGCTCCAGTCTGGTCCAGCTCTCTATACCCCGCTGCTTCATATGCACACTTCATCAAGAAGAGGTCTGTCGCTCTCCCCCTGAGCTACACCGCGCCATCTTCCTTCTCTCACACTTCAAGATTTGACTACCACGCTGCCTCTCCTGCTGTCACCACATACGCGTCTTACCCCGGTGTTGCTCCCCTGGCCTACTCAAGCCCAGTCGCTATTCAACACTTGATTTAAACGAACGAGATGCATCAGATATAAACTTTCAACAATGACAATATAAATTCCTTTGTACTCTGCAAAAGCTGATGAAAATACCATACACATTGTTGAAAATAAATGTTTTAAATCAAATATACATATGAAGTTTTTTTTATACATAATTACTTTTATGGATATTCTTTATGATAAGCGATTGAGATATTGATAATTATCATTTTTTATAAATCATTTCAATATTTATTTCTAAATTTAATACGTGAAAAATACTAACACAAAATGTATGTATACATTGCATATAAAAAGTAAATGATAAAATAAATCATAATAATTCTCAATAAAGAGGTATGCAATTGGGTAGGTTTTAATTAAAGCTTAAAATGTATTTAGAGATGTGGGCACATAGATAGAATGCCAAAGTAACGAAATAATGGTCAAAAGGATACAATAGAAGTTGGAGTGGAATGTGAAGTGAGTAGGGGGTTGTAACATTTAAAGAGGTAGAGTTGTGATATTTACTGTATTTCAAATCTAAGGTTTAAGTCTGATGTTTTCCCAACTAGCATGTATGTAATAAGCATACTTATTAAATTATATGTACCTATTAAAAGAAAAATAAATGCAGTGATTGTAGCGCTGACACTTTTTTCTCTCTAGTTACCCCGTTATTACATAAGCATTAATATGTATGTATTCAGCCCTTTTTAACGTCCCACTGCTGGGCACGGGCCTCCCTTCAGCACGAGGGGAATCAGGCCATAGTCCACCACGCTGACCAAGTGCGGGTTGGCGGACTTCACATGTCTTTTAAAAACTTGCTAGGTTCTCTCAGACATGCAGGTTTCCTCACGATATTTTCCTTCACTGTTAAGACAAGTGGTAATCATGTTGGAAATGATTCGCACATGAAAATATCAGAGGTGCGGGACCCGGGATTTGAACTCACTTCATTCGTTTTCCCAAGCGAGCGCGTTACCACTGGGCTACCACTGCCTTGTTTTATTAATATGTATTATATGATTATTTGAATTTTTGATTTCAAGGGCTTTAAGGAGTTCAGTCCTTTAAAAAGCTAGTGTGGGACGCAAGTCCAACATTGCGATTAAAATTTGTTAAGAGATTAAAATTTGTTTCATGATTAATGCATCAACCGGGACCAATCTTTCAGTAACCATGGAAATTGCTCGAAAATTATTATCACCGGATATTTAGGGACTGTGGAAAATATGGAAAATTTAATATGTTTCACCAATCAAGCAGGTGGCATATAATTATTTTTAGCCAACTTCCAAAAAGGAGGAGGTTCTCAATTCGTCGAAATCTTTTTTTTATGTATGTTCATCAATTACTCGAAGACTCCTGAACCGATTTGGTTTTTTTTTGTTTCAAAGGGTAAACTTCCCAGGCGTTCCCATATAAATTTTATCGAAATCGGTCGAGCGGTTTTTAAAAAAATGAACAATAAATATTTTTTTAGATAAATTGTTTAATCGAATATGTTATTAAAAAACTTTCTTTCAAATTACCTGCTTATTATGTCTACACTAAAAATGGAAAAAAAAACTAAAAAAAGAATATTGACTTCCAGGCACTAAAATGTAAAAAATAACTAAGCGGAGGTTTTTATTTAGAATAGATACCTAATCAGATATTTTCGAAATCGGTGCCAGCCGATGTCTGTCTGCCTGCCCGTCTGTCACCAGTGTGATAGCTAGACAGTTGAAATTTTCCAAGAGGATGTATTTCTGTTGCCGCTATAACAACTAATTCTAAAAAACGGAATAAAACAATATAATTAAGGGGGCTCCCATACAACAAACATGATTTTTTTGCCGTTTTTACAGATAATGGTACGGAACCCTTCGTGCGCGACTCCGACTCACACTTGGCCGGTTTTTTAACGTTGAGAATGCATATTTATACTTACCACTGCATTATGTGAAACTACCTACTGATTACTGAAACCTATCGGCATCTTCCCTTTTCCTATGGCCTTGCAGTATCACTTAGGCCCTCAACTAAGACGCCCCGACTCTGCAATAGAGATACTATCTACTTATTATGAGCTCATTAATTCATCTTTTGAGCTCATGTTCATAAATATAAATAACTTAACTACTTATTACACATTTATCTATACATATAATAACATTGTAACTAAGCTGAATCTGTACATTAAATACTTTTTGGAACATCTTATTAAATAAACATTATTATTGATACAGAAGCCGAATCTATAGTTTTTAGAATTTTTGTCTGTCTGTCTGTCTGTCTGTCTATCTGTCTGTTACCACATCACAGAAAAGCCACTCGAGGGAATTTGATGAAATTTGGTATGGTAATAGTTGGTTATCCGGGTCAACATATAGGATACATTTTACTGCGGGAAAATGTCTCATTTCTGAGAAAAAATACAAATACTTCAATGTAGAGTATACTAATATGTAAAAACCTAAGAATTTGGTTTTCGGTCATCTAAACGCGGGCGCAGCAGCGGGCAATGCTAGTTTATTTTATATTTGGTTACCAAAATAACTTACGGAGAGTACCTTTATTTATTTGAAAAATAATTTCAGTTTAAGTGTTATGGTTAAAAATCGCAGAACAAAAAGTTTCTAAGGAATCACTTAATATATTTGGCCTCAATGAAGGAAGGGTGAGTCACTACTGTACAGTACAGTACATAATGTCTTTAGTATACAATATTTACTGGATAGATCGATAAATAAATAAATAAAAATATTACCATAAGCTATCATATAATCAATACCTACTTCAGTTTATTTCACATGAAAGAATAATAAAATGTTTTAATCTGAATTTCATAGCCAGCATGTATTGATCAATGGTTGGGACCGCGATCAAACAGATATCGCCTAACTATACAATTTGCAATATCTATATTTTGTACATTGTGTACAATTATAGGACACAAATAATTCTAAAAAATATTATTTGTATATTTGATAATCAAGTTAATTTATTCTGGTTATATTATTATATTCTCGTCGTTTTTTTAATTTATTTTTTTGATTATTTATATTAATTAATTTATAATGAACTTTTAGTATCAACATTTTTACTAGTAAGCAGTTTGATGATTGTTTGACTATATATTTATATGTAATACTTACTATTATAGTAAAGTTTGTGAGTTTTTGTGAGTTTGTGTTGTTGTAGGGGGTAATCTCTGGATTTACTGAACTGATTTAGATGAAATTCGGTAAGAAGATAGTTTGAAATACTTGGAAGGACAGTTACTTTTTATTCCGCAAATCACCCCATAAGGGGGTGATAATGGGGATAAAATTTTGTATTGGGAAGCAAGTTATATAATAATAATAATATATATATTTTTACAAATCAAAACACATGTACGTTGTAAAACATTTATTTTCAACAATGTGAATGGTAATAATATCATGATGTGGATGGAGGCTTCGATATGTCTCATATTGTCATTGTTGAAAATTTATTTGAGACATGCTCGCTTAAATCAGGTGTTGAACGGCGACTGGGCTTGAGTAGGCCAGGGGAGCAAAACCGGGGTAAGACGCGTATGTAGTGACAGCAGGAGAGGCAGCGTGGTAGTCAAATCTTGAAGTGTGAGAGAAGGAAGATGGCGCGGTGTAGCTCAGGGGGAGAGTGACAGACCTCTTCTTGATGAAGTGTGCGTATGAAGCAGCGGGGTATAGAGAGCTGGACCAGACCGGAGCAATGGGAGATGCAGCCGCATAAGATGAGGCAACAAAAGGCGCGGCAGCAGTGTAAGGAGCAGAGGCCACGTAGCTAGAAGGCAGGTAAAATGGAGCACTCCTCTTCTTGATCAGATGAGCGGCTGTTGTGTAGACAGGAGATGAATAAGTGGCCAAAGGAGCAGCCGCAGAGTATGTGCTCACCAGAGGGGCGGTAGCGGTGTACGCGTTGTACGCGTAGGGGGCAGATGCGATGTATGAAGAAGGTGCGATGTAGCTGCCAAAACCAACTGATCGTTTCTTGATGTAGTGAGGAAAACCGGAGTAAACCAAAGGTGCTGAAGAGACTAGTGGAGTAGACCACAGCCCATTGCTAGGGTAGCTCGAATAAACAGCTGGCGCTGGTGCTAGCACGTTCGACGAATATGTCACAGGCGCAATGAGGCCTGGCGTCGCCGAGGCCGCGGCGAGGAAACAACACAATGCTACTAACTTGAACATCTTAATGCTTGTTATTCGTTCGAGGAACAACTGATGACAAGTAATTGTATGCTTTGTATTTATACTATGGAGCACGCAGAATGTTATCTTACAACCAGTGCGAGAAAGTCACTGATATTTAAATCGACAAGGCCAAAAGAAAACGCGTACCTAAAATTATTTTGTTACTCTTCATACGATACTACCTATATCGTTAAACTATTATAAATTAGTATAATTAATTATTTTAGCACACACAGGTTATATTGAATATGCGATATTTTGATAAAAACTTAATTGATTTTAAGTTCTATTTAGAAGTACTGTTTTAAAAAAATATATTGTGTTTAAAATATGATTATTTTTGTTTACCTCTCATTGTTGCTGTCGAAGGCTGCGGTTGTTGCTGAGATTCTTCAGCAGAGCGATGGCGAGATGGGGGAGCTCGTCGCGGTGATAGAGCCAAGCCAGCAACACTATCGGCCACGCCGGCCACATATTGGCCCAAGGAAGTTAAGAAACTCATCTTGCTAATTAAAACGCTTCACACATTTGTCACTATTGTCTTTAGTTGCTTGTCAAATATAATTTATATCATTTTTAATACAATAATATGCCACTTTGTATTTATTGGAAGCAAACACAACACATTATCTTCAGTTAATAAATCTGAAACAAAAAGAGGCACATGTGTAACAACTGTTGTATTATTTATATATATTCAAAATGAAATATTTCAACGAAATGTTTTTAATAAATAATATATTCGCAGAGAAAAAATACCCACTATAGTCTCGTTCTAACATTACCTAGTAATAAATACCTATAACATAACAAGAAAACTCACTTAAGGATAAAATGTGTCTTGGTGTTCATTTCGGTGACATACTATTTTTACTTGAGATAAAAATATCTTATTTCTTATGTACATAAATGTGATTTTTTAATATATGCATATTTTATATGTTAAAATTATATTAATGCAGTAGATACCTAACGCATAAAACTCCCTTACTCGTATTAACTAAATTAATTTTACGTAACGTGTCGTATTCGTGTAATTTATTTGTGATTCCTGGAAAGGTTCTTTTATATGCTAAATAAAAGATAGTATCTTTTTATTTGATGGTATATTTTATTCTAAATAAAATTTGGACAAGTCTACAGATACAAGTGCGAGGTCGATCCCTGGTCAAAGCTAGTAGTTAAATTTCTAATACTTGTATTTCTCGAATATTTGTATAGATTATGTAGGTAAAACAATATAATTAATAATAAATTAAATAGAAAAAAAAATTATAAATGAATTAATTTTTTAAGTACAAAGAAGACGAGAATATCGCATAACATAGACACAAAAAACATCAGCCGATAATGACTGTACATTGAGAACCCCTTCTTATTCAATATTCAAATTCGGGAATATAAAATAAGCGCTGAAGTAACCTATAAATATCATTATTGCAACACATTTTGTAATCTAAAGAAATAAATAAATATGTTGGGACATTCATACACAGCACCATCTAGTTCCATGGTAAGCTACGAGGCTTGTGTTATGGATACCAGATAATTGATAGACTACATATTATATACATAACTTTAAATACATACATATTATAAATATAAACACCCATGACTGGAGTACAAACATTCGTACTTATCGCACAAAAGAAAGCCCGCAGCGGGACTCGTACCCGCGACCCCTGGTTCAATAAGTAGTATAAATAGTCACTACAAATTGAGCCAAACGTGTCGTCAATATATTATAATTGAAGAGATTTCTAACAATCAAAATTAATAAAGCTACCTTTCATTTAACCCAAGTCATTTGGTTTTCGTTAATTTAGTACAAAGTAGTCTTACTCTAATATTTATTATGTATTAATATAAAATACTAAAATATATACCATATTATCTAGTAGTTTTTTATTAGGACATCATTTTAGCGTGCTGCTGCATGTATCTAAATGTAAATGTAATTAATTATCTTCGCTCGAAACACTCGTATAATTAGAAATCAAACATCACAAGGTAAGTTCGTTTGATTCTCAAATATTTATTATGTATTAATATAAAGTAGTAAAATATATATTAGCTAGTAGTTTTTTATTGGTTATCTTAATGGAATAATCGGAGACACACGTTTCATCCTTGCCGCGAGATGTACATACTCGTATGTATGTCTTCGACTACATAATACTATATTCCTTCGTGAACTTGTTTTCATCTTTTTAGTTAGCTTTTATGCAGTCGAGTTTTTTTATTTTTATAATATATTTATTTATAGCTTTTTAAGTAGGAAAATTGGCGAGAATGGTTGTTAGCCAACTTTAAATCATTATATATCCTAAGCTGTTATTTAAAATGAAAAATGATGAAAGAACCTTAAAAATGATTTATAAAAACCTATTCAACGATACCCCACTTGACATAGTTTGTCAATTTTCATTTTTTCAAAATCGGCCCACGCGTTTAGTCTAAATAGCGCCACAAAGGTACAAACCCACAAACATACATAATATAATATAGGCTGATAAACACATTACCCTCCTTTGCTCTCTTTGCATGTCGCGCAGTCGGGTAAAAAAGCTCATACTTTTTGTTTTATTCTTACCAAGAATGACTTTTATGAAGGTCATATGCAATTACTCTCTGAGATAAAAACAAAATGTCAATTAAACCAGTGCTCTATTTAAAGATAACATAGACATGATATAGTCTACAAGCTTCTCTGTATTATTTTACTTTGATCTCTTTAATATTTTATTTGTAATACAAAATTACTACATCCTCCATGTTGTGATGAAATTCAAAAATAGCATATTTATTGGTACTTTTAAAAGTCACACTATTCCAAATGAGTTTAATTTCGTGATAGATGGGACAGAAAGTTAAAGCCGTCTAGTGCGCTAGGAAGCTTCAAAAGAAATTCCGGCAACGATGACATCGTGATGGATTACTCTATAAGTTGCGGACATTAACTTAGATAAGTCGTTTTTCATGTAACTTTTCTCCAATTATATTTCGTGGGACATTTATCATTATAATAAGTTACCTGAAAGGTAAGTTTTACTGCAGCCCCTAAACGTTTACTGCAGAATATGTTTGATCAGAGCTCTCATAGGTCGACATCTTAATTTTGTTGTCGTGAGGAGTTCATTAGCGTCCAGCAATCCAGTCGGGCTAAAGTGAAATCCAGTGAGATCCAGTGAAACTAAAATACGCACTGGTAGGCGGTAGGTTGCTCCTGGTACTTTTCTGATAGCAGCTAGAGCAACTCCCTGACTGTTGTGGTCGACTTTTGTAGGCTAGCCGTCGGGTCGTCGTTGTTGAGTGCTTTAGTGTTCCTGTGAAGCCCCATTAAGAAGAGAAAGGTTCCGTTGGGCTAAAGAAGTTGTTACTAGCTTCTCTAGACAGTTAGTCCCGCATAGCCACCTGTGTGTATGCAGGTGGTATGCGCAAATTCAATTGTATAAAACATAATCTATACTAATATTATAAAGAGGTAAAGTTTGTGATCTTGTGAGTTTGTGAGTTTGTGACGTTGTAGGGGATAATCTCTGGATCTACTGAACCGATTTTCAAAATTCTTTTACCAATAGAAACCCACGTTCTTTCTGAGTGTCATAGGCTATATATTAATCCGAAAAATCAAAATGCTTTTTCGTGGTAGTCGGATTTGCAAAGTAAGTCGGAGAAAAAACGGTCGAACGAAAACGTTTCTTACGAACGCAGCCTTAACGATGAGAGATATATGATTATGTTCTAGAGAAAAGTTGTAGAGCTTAATAATGCCTACAAAAAAGTCAGCGACAGCATATGTCTAACTTTTATATTTAAGTCACAAAAAGTAGATTTTTATATTAAAAAAATAATTTAAATCGGTAGATAATGTTTATTGGTTATATTATCAACAATTATGAATTCTTATCAAAATAAGTAAATTTATCGTCTAAATTGTTTAAAACGAAAGACTTTTCCCCTTTACTGCATATAATTTGGACAAATGGTTAAAGAGATAATACAACATATTCGTATGTATGGACGAACCCGAGCGAGCTGTTTATCTGTTTTTCTCTTTGTACGGGCTAATCTCCGGATCTATTGGACCTATTTAAATGAAATTTTGCATGGTGGTACCTTATATCCCCGGGGAACGTCTTAGATACTTTTCATCCTGGAAAATTAAAGGGTTCCCGTGGGATGGTTAAAAAACTATAACAACTTATACATCTTAGTACACAAAAACTACTGATTGGATTTTAATCAAACTTTACAATAATATAGTTCATACATAACAAAAACAAATCAGCTACTTTTCATCCCGGAAAATTAAAGAGTTTCCGTGGGATGGTCAAAAACTATAGTAACTTATACAGCTTAGTACACTAAAACCACTGATTGGATTTTGATGAAAGTTTACAATAATATAGTTCATACATCAGAATAACAAATAGGTAACTTTTTATCCCGGAAAAACGTACTTTTCCCGTGGGATAGATGTTTTTGTTTATTTGTAACGTATTATGTACACAACACAAACCCCAAAACAATAGTTATTAAAAAAATTGTCTGTTTGACTGTTTGCCTGTATGATAACTTATTAATCGAGTCAACATTTAGGGTACCTTTTGTATGTAGTATGTATGTATATATGTTGTATTCAGCCCTTTTTAACGTACCACTGTTGGGCACGGGCCTCCCTTCAGTACGAGGTGGCTCAGGCCATAGTCCACCACGCTGGCCAAGTGCGGGTTGGTGGACTTCACATGTCTTTCGAAAACTTGCTAGGTTCTGTCAGACATTCAGGTTTTCCTTCACCGTTAAGACAAGTGGTAATTTTGTTAGAAATGATTCGCACATGAAAATATCAGAGGTGCGAGACCCGGGATTTGAACTTGCTTCACTCGGTTTCTCAAGCGAGTGCGTTACCACTGCCTAGATACCTTTTACTTAAAGAAAATCTTTCTTTCCCACGGGAAAATACAATAACTGGTTTTATCGAGTCCTCCCTAGAAACCTTCCGCTGGCTAAGCCTTAATTAAGACTTACGTACATCAAAACAATATACTAAAAATTTGTAGGTCTTGAAAACTCCTACAGAAAAATTCTGAATAGTATATGTCTATCTCCTAAGTTACACTCGCAATATTTATTCTTATCTATACCTATAATAAAACTTAGTCAAATCGATGTGCGCGTTTCACGCAAAAAGTAATCAACCGATTTTAACTTAATTTTGTATAGTGTTAAAACTTAGTGCTCGGGTTAACATTTAAAATACCTTTTACGACAGGCAAATTATTCATTCCCACGGGAAAACACAATAACTGGTTCTATCGAATTGTCCTTAGAAATTTATATGGCTAACGTAGGCTCATCAAACATTGTACAAGAAAATTGTAAGTCTTAAAAAGGTCTATAGAAAAGTTCTACATAGTATATGTTTATCTCCTAATGTACACTCGCTATAACTATTTTCATTATTATATATTACTGTTTTATTATACGTTATTTATTCTATCTGAATATACATATATATGAATAATAAAACTGTAGAGGTCGAATGTCTGTACATAGATGGTAGAAAAAATGCTGAAAAACGAGTCAGTTCTCTTCTTACATCCCGTAAGGAGAGAAATAGAACAAATCCAGATTTTTTCATTTTTTTCTTTCTCTGTCTGTTTGTCTGTTTGTACGGGCTAATCTCCGATACTATTGAACCTATTTAAATTAAATTTGGTACTTTTCATTCCGGAAAATTAAAGAGTTCCCGTGGGATAGTTACAAAACTATAGTAGCTTATACAGCTCAGTACACAACAACTTATGCACCTAATTGAGTAATATAGGCATGCTGATACCTTATATTGCCGGTCGAACAACAGGTTACTTATTTTTATCCCGGAAAAATGAACGGTTCCCGTGGGATAGATCTGCTTGTACTTTTCTAGAGGTGAACCCGAGCGAAGCGAGGGTGAGCCGCTAGTACAAAATAAAATCCTTTTATTGTTAAGTTCCGCAAACATACACGAAGTGTTGAAAAAAACATGATTCATGTTTTAATCTAGTGGTTGATACTCAAACGGCCTCGATGACATTCGGTCGATTATATTTTTTTTTTTTTTTTTTTTTCTCTTTATTTAAAGGACTTGTTCACAAAAAAGAAACATGTCGTCCTGTTCGGACTTCTTACATGCTACATAATACATTTTACATCCTGAACACTACTAACATAATTATGTATTAAGGTTAGAACTATAACTAATAACGATAAATGCAAGCACTTAAAAAAAAACCCTTTAGTTATACTACGAATATTTATATAATCAAACAATTATCTGTTTTTTAAGCCTAACTTCACTAATTTATACACACTTTTAGCGGAACTTGAGTGAGGACATGTTAACATACTATTGCAAATTCCAATATTCATATCATTTTGAGCAAATATATGCCTTCTAAACGATTCATTCCGAACACATTCCATCAAAACGTGATAAACATCTTCATTTTTCCCACACACTACACACAAAGGAGATGAAATCTTTTTCATTATAAATGCAAAATAGTTAAGGGGAATGTGTCCAGAACGAATTCTAAAAGCTAATTTTAGGGTGGATCTATCTAAATTACAAGATTCAAACCAAGGAGAGTGAAAGGGTACAGGCTGAATAGTCCTATACCAAATCCCCTTGTTCTGAGAAGTCTTTTCAAAGTTTTGCACCCACAACTTACTAATATGTTCTTTTAATATAGGTAACAGATCACAATAAAAAGGCACTATGCTTAGGGGTATTCCATCGGATCCTGCCTCTCTTGCAAGGCGATCTACCAGCTCATTTCCTGTAACTCCTACATGAGACGGAATCCATTGGAATATTACTTTTTTATTAGAAAGTTCTAAATTTAGAATTGTTTTCAATATGTTGTAGGCTATCGGTACTCCTCGAAAATTCGAGGTGCACCGAGCCACGTGTTGGAGCGCACTTCTAGCGTCTGTTAGAATAACAAATTTGTTATGACTAATATTATTTACATAAGATAGTGCCTCCGCAATAGCGAACAATTCAATGTACATAATGGAAACATTGGTTTCAATTTTTAACCTAATTTTAGTACCTAACTGTGGGTCTAATATAGCTGCTCCAAACCCATTATCTCCTTTCGATCCATCAGTATAAATTTTATAACAATCAGAGTATTTTTTGTGTATCATTTCTAAGCATTTGTATCTTAAATTGGAGATATCTATCTCTTTTTTTGATTCTGTGACATTTTCTATGAAACAGAATATATTATTTTCTAAATTAATGTTTTGAACCCACGTGTTGAGACTAAACATTTCTAATTTTTTCGAAGAATGGATGGGGAAAGATTTTAAAAGATTATATATATTAATTAACAAAGGTTTCTTTTTAGCCTTCCAATAGCCAGATCTAATGCACTGAGAGTATAATTGACTCACTAGCTCAATATTCCTATTGTTCCGAAAAGCTCGACTTCTTAACCAAAACTTCCCTGCTAAGAACGACCTACGCAAAGAAAGTGGATGTAAATGGAGTTCGTTTTCCATAACATGCACTGGAGTCGTTTTGATAAACCCACCAATAATACGCATGCAATGATTTTGGACTTTATCAAGTTTGTATAAATTCATATTAGAACTTGTGTCATAAAGAAAACACGCATAATCCATACGACTACGTATCAAAGAAATATACAACCGTCTTAGATGTTTAGGGTGCATACCCCAGTCTGATCCTGCCAAAATTTTAAACATGTTTAAACATTTTTGTGCTTTATCTAAAATTTTATTTATATGTTTAGTCCATTTAAGATTCCTGTCCAACCAAAGACCTAAGTATTGGACACATTCAACTGGTTGAATCTGAATTCCTTTAAGTTTTATGTCAATATTCATAGGAAGTTTATTCTTTCCCTTCCTAAATAAACAAGTTTTAGTCTTTTTTTCAGAAACTTCTAAACCCAGAGCCTCTATCAAATTGTTAAATTTATCTAGTGCCAATTGTAACTGTAATGACCCCTCTTCTACTGACTTAAATGAACCATATAATACAAAATCATCAGCGTATTGAGATATAGAAACATTTTCTATTCCCTGACATATATACATTGTGACTACGTTAAACAGGAGTGGAGATAAGGGATCTCCTTGTGCGAGCCCCCGCCCTGTTATTCTTGAAATACTGTAGTTACCTGAGGAACGTATATTTAATTCTCTAGATCTCATAAATTCCCACAAATAAATACAAATAATTGATCCTACTCCAAGACTGTCTAATGTTTTCAATAAAATAGTAATATCAACGTTGTTATATGCGCTCTCAATATCAACAAAACATCCTAAAGTAAACATATTGTCCCCAAATCCTAATTGAATGTGAGAAACTAAACTAGTCAAACTATCCAAACAGGAGTGAGCTTTTCTAAACCCAACAGTATTTCTAGAAAAGCAATTTAAATTTTCAAAAAACCATTCTAATCGGTGTTTTAAAATTGTATGGAAGATTTTACAAGGGCAAGACAGAAGAGCAATGGGTCTTATATCCAACAACAATTGAGATAGGCTACCAGTCTTCGGTATAGGGATAATTGAAGTTTTTCTCCATTGACTTGGCACATATCCAGAAGCCAGAATCATATTATATATCTGAATCAATATCTCTTTCCCATTAACAGGAAGGTATTTTATCATAGAAAAGGAAATGGAATCATCGCCAGGAGCTGTATCCTTGTTTTTAATAGCACGGTTGAGTTCATGTAGAGTTATGATGCTTTCCAGGGCTTGATTACTCGAAGTAAAAGAAGGCTTATCTGGCGAAACATAATCTGGGGATAAATTACGTAAAAGTTTATTGGCAATAGTTTCATCAATGTTAGCCCTAGGTAAACGGTATCCTTTTAACCATCGCATTCGACGGCACATTTCACTAAGGGACACAATTTCATTAATACTACTACAGAACTTTCTCCAAGCTTCTCTTTTAGCTTTACGAATAGTTCTCCGTGCAGAAGCAATTTTAGCTTGAAGATTGCTTAAATTATGGGGCGTAGGGTTTTTCCTAAAAATTGCTAATGCAAGTCTCCGTTCCGCTATCGAGCGAGAGATGTCTACATTCCAATATGATTTAGGAACAAATTTTTTAAGTCTTAATGGGTCTTGACAAATGTTAACTGGGGGTATATATATATTAGCAGCAGTATTAATAGCGTCAACGAATTGATTATACGCCTTCTGAGGATTGGCTGCCAATATCAAAACGGAGAAGATGCTTTGAAGAAAACTAGAATAACCATTCCAATTGGCTTTTTTAAAGTTCCTCTTTCGAACGAAGTTAGGACTCTGATTATTGTTATACAAGGAATATTTAATGATGAGATGATCGCTCCCTAACGATTCATTTGACATTGCCCAAGTAAACTTTAAAGCGATATCACTTGTTACCAATGTAATGTCGGGAGAAGATTTTTGTAGACTGCCATTGACCAATTTAATTCTAGTAGGTGATCCGTCATTCAGAGTTATATAATTTTTATCAAGCAATACATCAAAAAGTTGACTACCCCTGTTATCTGTCTTATATGACCAATTCGAATGATGAGCATTAAAGTCTCCAGCAATCAAAGTTTTATTGTTATAAATGCCAAAAATATAATCCCAATCGCTTGTTGTAGTCTGCACGGATGGCGGACAGTAGATAGCAATGATATTTTCTATTTGAAAACAATTCAGTAATTTTAGATGTATAAGTTGTATTCCAGGATTTGTACAATTTATTTTAGATAATTGATATTTAATGGAGGCATGAACTATAATTGCTACACCACCATATCCGTCGTCCCTATCCTCGCGAACTATATTATAGCCAGATATCCTAAAGTTAACATTGGAATTTAACCACGTTTCACTTAAGACCGCAATATGAATTTTCTCCTGACATAAAAATAGTTCCAACTCAGTTAACTTCGGACGTATACTTTGACAGTTCCATTGGATTATATTAACAGAACGTAAAAAATTATTATCCATTTTGGAATAGATTTTTGAAGTTAGACCACTCTGATATATATTCCACAAATGAATCCATAAACCAGTCATACAAAACTTTTACACAACACTTGAGCTTTTTTGTAAAATTAATTTTTTTCATAAAAATTATGTCCTTAATTTTTTTAATTAATTGTTGTACATCAAATTTATTAAATTTCTCTCTTTGTTGGATATCTTCTCTCTCCTGTAGCTCTAGATCAATATCAGAATCTAATTCTAAAGTGTACTCCTCATCAGTTTGAACCTTTTCTTGGTCTTTTCTTGCTTTCTTTTTTTTTGTGTTAAATACCGATGTATTAGAATTAAGGGTTGTGTCCTGCTCCCTGTGTACTTCGGCTGTAGTTTTTAACACCTCTGCGTATGTTATATTGTTATCTGATTGAGTTGTCCTAGGTAGGTTTTCCTGAAGAGTGTCCTCTTGATGTCTTTCATACTGAGGTGAAGGTTGCACATACATTGTAAGAGCCTTTTTGTATGTACAATTGTATTCTGCCATCAATTCCCTTATTTTCTTTTCTTTTAAATAAACAGGACAAACCTTTGACAATGCCATGTGTTTACCCTTACAGTTTACACATTTAAAAGCAGTTGTTTCGCAATTATTATGAAATTTCCCACACTTAGGACAAATGGTATTCTTTTTTGAGCATTCCTTATAATTATGGCCAAATCGCCAGCACCTGGAACATTGCGTAACGGGGAAAACAAAAGGGTCTACTTTTATGCGTGTGCCATAAGAATAAATGTATGAAGGCAAGGACGAACCTTTAAAACAAACCCTTACACATTCACTATCTTCGAACCCACCATTGTCAAAATTCCGCCGCTTTAGCCGTTTTACATTTAATATTGGAGTGGTGCTAGTTAAATCTTGCAGAATTTCCGATTCAGTCATTTCTAAATCTATGTCCCTAATTATTCCATAAGAAATGCCAACTTCAAAGGTCTTTTGACATCGATATTCTTTATCAATGAAGTATTTGCATTGTATTAGCTTCTCTGCGCTTTCGTTTTTGCTGAATTTTAGCATCACTTTATAGGCATTAATATACCTCACTCGAATAATATCTAATATATTTTCCTGCTTGAGGATACGGGCCAATCCTAATTGCTTAGGTAACTTCTCCTTTTTCGATGTCATACTTATCTCAATTTGTTCTTCTGGTACTCTAGTCATATCATCGTCAGACGCACTGCGTGCCACTACTTTACCTCTTCTACCGACTTCTGTCCAAACTTCTTCCTCGTCTACCACCCGATTTCTCTTCTCTGCGCGACTTCTTTCTGTCCTCTCATATAATAATAACGAATTTTCGTCATTACTGTTAATCTCGGTCCTCTCTTCTAATAAATTAATTACTTCACAATCTCGGTCCATATCTAACGAGTTTATATCGCTATCCATATCCGACGAGTAAAAAATTCATTGCAATTTATAAAATAACAAATACGCGTACGCTTAAACAAAACCGGTTCTAAACGACCGTCAACAACAAGCGAACGCAAGCAACGATTGTCGATTATATTGAAATGTCTTAAATCGCTGTTTAGTATAATAAAAACAAGCAGTTTATTGAAGTATAAAATATTGCTTAAGTCAACAGCTTGTTAATATTGATGTTACCTGTAAAACTATAGTAATCGACACCATCGTTAGATGAGTAAACAATGGCACTCCCAATTTGCGGAAAGCAACTAGGAGTAAATCCATTAAGCCCTAAGCTTGTGTTCTCGTTTAATCTTGGCTCCCCACGCTTACAATATTGGGAGACGGACGTTGACGGTCAACGTAGTTTGATTAGTCAGGCTTTGCTCTTGTACTGTTCCCCAAGTCGTCGTTTTTTAATCTTCTTTGCTTTATGCCATATGAAACCATAATATTATTTGTTTAAAATAGATCATATTGGATGTCTGAGAATATACATAACATAAAATCGATTCATCTTTTATAATGATAGTTAGTGAGCTTTACTAAGAAGTCTATAGAAACTATTGAATACACCATTTTGAAAAAAAGATTCCGACGAATTGAGAATGTCCTCCTTTTTGGAAGTCGGTTAATTATGACAATAATTATCAAAATAGTTTTTTAAATATGAACTTACACGATTTCCACCACATTTTTTTATGTAAATAGAAAACAGTAAATAATAGTGCCCTAAGGTTTAACGTTTCCGAAATATTTGAATGCAAAGGTCATGCTATGAAAACGGTGATAATCTTTTAAAATGAACTCATTATATGTTAAAAACCTTCAGCTATGATATTCAAAAATAGTTTTCCTTTTTTATAACCTTTAACCGTCTACATTTTATAACACATTCATCGTGTCTTAAGCTCCGAATCTGATCAATGGCAGAAGGCCATGGAAGATGAGTTTCAGTCATTAAAAAAATCGTCGCGCATCTTTGAAAAAATAAATAAAACTAACAATACCAAGTTTCATAGAGAAATGTACAAACCTCGTCGATAATTAAATAATAATTTAAACAAAAGCTTAAAAAAGTTCTTAGAAGCATATTCATCAAATATACAAATAGTGAGAAAATGGAAAATATTATGAAAATCCTTACAAATGAAAGGGCCGCCCACACTTCTTAAGTATTATTGATTTGTCAAATCTCAGTGTTATTTGATGTATTTGATAAAAAAATAAACATTCTGAACACGTAGTTGCTTTACATACAACACACAACACATAAATCAGGATATGTTGATATTTTCGGCAAACACGTAGACGGTCACAACGTATTCGTAGAGTCGTAGGTATAGTATAGAAACTACAAATATATAGGTACATAAATGAATACTTTACAAGAAAGCACTTTGAATTTTTATTTTAACTTAGAATAATGAATTTTATTAGTATCACTAAAATAATGCCTGTATAAGTATTAAGTGTTATTTTTTATCTAAGCACATTTACAATATTAGCCATATTTTTTTAGATATCTTGGCTTGTTAGAACGTAAAAATTGGAATTATTAATCATCATAATGTTAAAAAATATCAAATTTAATAAATTCGATTCAATTCTTTGATAAATTTTGAAGAAACAAATTAAGTTAAACACTTTCAGAGAATTTGAACTGTATTTGTAAAAAAAAAATTGATTGTAAGGGTAGCCCTTGAGGAGTAGGTTTCGTAACCAAATGCCAGTTTTATAATTTAGATTTCATTTATTAATTACAAAATATACACATGACATTAATTAATCTAAATTATTGTACAAAATAAATTAATTTAAAATCATAGCATAAAATCGAAAACGATATTAATTAAACGGTTAGTATAGATTTCTCAGAGATGAGATATATTGACCCGGATAACCAGCTATCAACATACCAAATTGCATCAAAATCCCTCCAGTGGTTTTTACAGACAGTCAGACATAAGAATTTACTTATTTCATAATTAAGAAAACCAGTTCCTATACAAAAAGTAGACATGTCCTTTATAGTATAACTTATACTATGGGTAGGTAAACTTAAAATTTTATAAAGTAAATAAAGATTGATCATAAGAAAAAATCGTATTCTAGAAGTTTCTAAACAAAAAATGTTTTATATCTATTAGCATAGAGGTAGTTTTATTTTATAAGAATGTTTTTGATGAAATAAAGCAATATTATTGTATTAGGTGTTTTAATCACAGTATTACAATATTGAGAAGTATTTAATCACAATATTGAGATTCGAGAATGTACATGACACCGGTTTACAACGAGAACGAGAGAGAGAGGCAAAGACAAAGCAGAGTAGACGCTTAAGTGTATCATAGATTATAAATATAACGTGTAATAGACAATATGTTCTGGTTTATGGCTGTATTCCAATATCCTCCCTTAGACATAAACCCATCTTCGAAGAGCAGTAGTTGAGCTTCATCTGCGGAGTACCTTTAGTCAACGCATCGGCCACCATCTCGCCTGTCTGGATATATTCAATAGCAATTTTCTTCAAATGTAACTTGTCACGAACAAAGTGGTGTCTTACATCAATATGCTTCGACCTGGAATGATAGTTTTCAGAACCTGCAAGTTTAATTGCACTTTGATTATCACAAAAAATTATTATAGGTATACTGTTTAAATGTGGCCAAAATTCTTCTCGTATTTGTTTAAGCCATATTGCCTCTTGAGTGCAACTTGATAAAGACATGTATTCCGCTTCAGTGGTTGATAATGCAACTGTTTGTTGCCGTCGTGAGTTCCACGATATTGCAGCACCTTGATGAATAAATACATAGCCAGTGCATGATCTTCTGTCATTATCACTGCTTGCCCAGTCAGCATCACAATAAGCAAATAGTGTTTCATTATCATTCTTCTTATATGTCAGTACATAATTTTCAGTGAACTTTAAATATCTTAAAACTCGTTTGAGTGCAACCCAGTGCTGAATTTGGGGCCTTGTATTAAATTTACTAAGAGTATTCACAGCATAAGATATATCAGGGCGCGTCCCTTGTGACAAATATAATAGACATCCAATAATTTCTTGATATGGTTATGTCTGACTTCTCATCAAAAATAAGCTTAGTCTTCGGATCAATTGGCGTGTTTACATTTTTACAGTTTTGCATTCCATATTTTTGCAATACTTCTTGTATATATTTTTGTTGATCAATACATAAAATTCCTTTGTTTCTATCTCTGGATACATGTAGTCCTAAACAATATTTTAGTTGACCTAAATCTTTCATTTCATATTTAGTGAATAACTTATTTTTAATATAACTTTTAGTTTCTGTTACATTTGTGAACAATATCAGATCATCTACATATACTGCTAAAAATGATATATCTTCTCCATTTATTCTGTAATAGATGCAAGGATCAAGGAGTGATTGTTTTAAGCCAATTTCTCTTAGTGTACCATTTAGTTTTTTGTTCCATTGTCTGCTGGCTTGCTTTAATCCATATAAGGATTTTTGTAACAAACATACTTGTGTGTTATTTTCTTCAAAGTTAGGGGGTTGTTTCATATATATTTCCTCATCTATATCACCTTGAAGAAATGCTGAGACTGCATCCATTTGATCAATATCTAAATTATACTTCACAGCTATAGATAGTAAGTATCGAAGGGATGAATATCTAATGACTGGAGAAAAAACTTCATTGTAATCCAAGCCTTTCTTTTGAGCACAGCCTTTAATTACTAGCCTCGCTTTATATTTAGCTATTTCACCAGTTGCATTCTTTTTCGTCTTAAAAACCCATTTACAAGATATGGCTTTCTTCCCAGGAGGTAAGTCACACAATATCCAAGTGTTATTTTTTTTAATTACTGAAACTCATCTTCCATGGCCTTCTGCCATTGATCAGATTCGGAGCTTAAGAAAGCTTCTTCTAAAGTTAATGGATCCTGACTTAAAACCATACACGCATAATTAACCTCATCATCTTCATTTTCTGTACATCTTTGTTGCCCTCGTCGAGGTCTGAGATTTATAAAATTTGTAGGTGAATCAAATGTACAATCGCTGCTTGGTTCATATGTAATATCAAGATCTGTGATACTAGCTGCAGAATCATAATTATCATCTTGGATGCTACAGTCATTCTGGACATTGTCAATGGAGCTGGGGTCCTCATCTCTTTAAATGGTTTCCTCTAATGGCAAGGTTATCTGTCAGTTTTTCCAATGGTGTCACATAGTTAAGGACTCTAGTCGGAGAGCGATTGATTATATGAGCAGCTGTCTCTACTGCCTCTGCCCAATGTACTTTTGACAATCCAGCATCAAACAACATACATCTGGCACGCTCAGCAAGAGTGCGATTCATGCGCTCTGCAAGCCCATTTTGTTCTGGTGTGTACGGAGATGTCGTCTGATGTATGATACCAGTACCTTCAGTGCACAAAGGAAGCCTACTTAAGTCATTGTAGTTGAGATGCCCCATCCTCCGATGCCACAGATCAATATTCTGACCCTCCACAGCTGACAGAAATGCTAAATTTCCTTTAAATGTATTCAACTTGTACATATTATTAGAAATATATGCAGTTGTCATTAATTGCTTTTGCTCATTATATATTTCACAGCTCTTATCTTTAAAAACTACTTGACATCCATTCTTTGCTAGCTGACTGACTGATAATAAATTAGTACTAAGTTGTGGAACATAAAGTATATCTCTCACCTGTATGTGATTTATTGTGCCATCCTTACCAACCAAATCAATATTCACATTGCCCATTTGCAGCACTGCAACTGATGTATTATTAGCAACTTTAATATGATCTATCGGAGCTGCCCGGATATCATACATCCAATCTGAAATGTTAGTCATATGTAAGGAGGCTCCAGAATCCACATACCATTCCACTTTGTCTGCTTGTCCATGAGCTGCTGAGAACACTGCTGCAAAACCTTTATTGTTAACTTTCTTTTTATTGTT